CTTCCCAACCACCAGTCGAATCTTCCCAACCACCAGTCGAATCTTCCCAACCGCCTGTCGCTGATCCCCAACCACCAGTTGAATCTTCCCAGCCGCCTGTTGCTGAACCGCTACCACCTGTTGCTGACCCACAACCACCTGTTGTATCTTCCCAACCGGCTGTGGCTGACCCGCAACCACCTGTTGAATCTGCCCAGCCGGCTCTGAGGTCCCCTCAGGTACCTGCAGAGCCTTCGGAAGCTGTTACGTTAGAGAGCAGGTTGCAGCAGCTGCGACAGACGGTGGTTGGGGAGCTGAACCGGCTGAGGAGCAGCTTCAGGCCGACCAAGGGCGAGTCTCAGCCGGATCAGGAGCAATGGGCTAGTCTGGAGAAGGCTGTGGACGAGCTGTTCGATCAGCAGAGGAGCACGATTTACAACAAGCAAGCGACGGAAGCGGGAAGCGGAAGTCCGGCTCCAGGGCAAAACAACAACATTTTCCAGAATATTATCAACGGTGTGACGCAGTTGACTTCCGGATGGGTGGCCAATATCCAGAATAACGGACCTCCGGGAACGCAGGGGGATACTGGGGCTGAGGGTACGAACAACCAAGGGAGCGGTCCAGGAGGATTCCAAGGATTCGTGCAGTACTTCACTAATGGTGAGTTTATTCGGTTAGCGGGTTTTGGAAAACGGCAATTACTTACTGAATCTCCCATCAGAGAATTTGAGCACTGTTGTATTTCATTAAAAATTCACACTTGATTGATTGATTGAGATAGTGGTCCAGAAAAATATCGAGCCGACCCCGTAGAATTCTAGTTACTCGAAATTAATAATAATGATTATAGGTTTCCTTTTCTAATTACAGTATTATTGAAGTACATATTATTTCTACTAAAATTTTACCAAAAAAAAATATGCCAAAATCAAGGATCACAATGTACAGGGTGGCTGGAATTAGAGCCTTATAATTGGGATCTCGTGAACCGTAAGAGAAACAAGGTTAGTTAAATAATGGAAAAGTTGCAAAATTTTATGCCTAACAAAATGCCGTCTTGACACTTTGAAAATTCCGAATACCCCATCAAGAAAACCGAAATTATTCAAAACCATTTTTTAAAATTATCTGGATACATTGATTGAAACGAATAATACTTTATTATCATAACCACTCTTTCTTACCTACAAGTTGGCGTTTTTCAATTCGAAATACGACGTTTCGGCTTCCAGGAACCATTATGAATTTGTCATCTTTTAGATACGTAGCTGCATTTTTTATTTCATTTTTTCTTACCTTATATTAAGCTATAAGCCCTTACAAATTTTAATTTTCGTATGTTTGAACTGACAGTTTCTGTATTTTTTCGTCGACTGTCAATTTTTGTTAGGCCTAAAACTGCGCAACTTTGCCACAATTTAACCGACCCTGTATCTTTCACGGTTTACGAGGTCCCAATGATGAGGCTCTAATTTCAGCCACCTTATACAGGGCCTGCATGAAGTACAAATTCCTCACCAACAAAATTTCAATGGGTACCTATTCTGATTATTTTCAGGTGTTAGTAGCATAATGAACCAAATCACAAATAACAATGGACCGACTACCTCTAACACTCTGTTGGGAGATTCAGGGGTAACCAGTAGCCCCTCCAACAACCCTCTGGCTGCCGTTGGGGGGTTCTTCAGTTCGGTTGCCAACAATGTCCAACAGGTTTTCAACGGACCCAATAACTCTCCTCCAGGAACCCAAGGTAAAACACAACTAACCAGCCTAAACCACCGACTAAAAAAATTTTGACAAATCCTTCGCCCTGTAACTTTTTCAATTCCTGTTCGATTTTGGTGAAATTCCGACCAAACCGTAGATTGATGTTTTGGAATGTTGGTCTGATTTCCAGTTCCCAAGAAAAGCTGATGGTTTGAATATTATAAAGGAAAAAACAAAAGTTACTCTCTCACCCTAAATTCGTATTCAGAAAAGATTTTTATTCATTTTCAGGTGATACTGGATCGAATCCTTCAAGTGGACCACCATCTCCCATCCAGGCTATCCAGAACTTTGGTGAGCATAGATATTTTTTCTACGATCAAAAATACCTGAAGGAAGGAAAATACTCTCAAACCGACTAAAATTTTCGATCCTACTTCTCGATTGTTGACTAGTTTATTTGAAAAACACTCATCGTCAAATGAGCTGCCACCTGACCCCAATCTCAATTAACAGGAAACACCGTGAGTTCAGCCTTTAACAACATTTTCCAAGGTCAAGCACCAGCGAGTACTAGCGGAGACGAAGGAGTACCAACCAATGGAGGACCAAACATCATCCAGAGTATTGGAAATGCTATCCAGAACAGTCCTCTGAACCCGTTCAGGCCACAAAATAATAATAACGCTCAGAAGCCAGCAGAACCAGGTAAAATACAGTATGACACATAGTTACCCTCTCGATCAAAAAGAAACAAAAAGTTTGAATGAACATTGTTCGAAAAATAGGAGCTACAGCCTCTTAAAGAGCTTCTCCTGAAGATGGTTCCGTTATCATTATTCTCGAAACGGTTTTAGATAGAATTATGAAATTTTGAGTACTATTAGACCGTACTTTTTGTCAACAACAGGTAATCTTGCTAGACTATGATGAAATGCACAGTTTAGGAGCAAAATAAATTTGAACATGATGCATGACATGAAATTGATGATGAAAAAAAAAAATCACAATAGATCTTCTAGGTCGCAGTGATCGAGAGGTCTCCCAGCCTATACGACCCATCTACAATGACATGAAATTATTCATAAATTTGAGAACAAATTTTTGATACGCTTCTGATTCAAGTGATTAAATCAGCATCACGATAGACTGATCAAAAAGTTTTATAAAAGAGGTCGAATCATCAAAATATCGAAATCAAATCTTCTTTGTTCGAATTTGAGTTAGTCGAGAACTGAGCATTTTATCGAAGTCAAATAAGAAGACCCTTTTTTGTTCATGTGAAAGTTTTCAATTTTAGTTGTGAAATTGCAAAAATATCTGTTAACAAAAAAGTGAGTGGCATGAATTTCTTCACAGACTACATGATTCAGGCTGGTTCCGTTTTTTTTTGTTTTGAATGAGTATTTGAAAAACTATTCAATGAAAAAAATAGAAACTTGCAAGAATCCGATAATTTAAAAGGATATCGAAGGAACATTTTGATTTGTATGAATAGATTTTCATCAAAACTACTTTCAAACCGAATAGAATAACGAGAGTAGGTATTGAGGAGAGACTACAGTTCTGTAATGAAAATGTATCGACATAATCAATAACACAATAAAAAAGTTCCATTGATATTAATCAAAAGTACTCAAAATATATATGTACCACCCTGTAGCTTGATATATAAAATGCTATGAGATGCAATAAATGCAACCAATTGATTCATGTTCCTACCAAATCTAATAGCTGTATTTAACAGTATTGAAATTCTAGGTATTTTTGTTAAATAATACAGTATACACTTCAACATCTCATAATCTCAATGGTGAACTGTTTTCGAGCATATGTTTATACATAGAATTAATTGTATTTCATCGAGTGAAAGAAAGTATTCAATCCCTCTTGTATAATTAGAATTTTGTGAAATAACACTCCAAATCCTATGAAAAATGTGAAGGCTTCCAATAGTTTCAATCATTTAGGAAACACTTATAGACCATAATTTTCAAGTGCGAATATAACCGGTATAGAAGGCGCCCATAGAAATCATATTATAATAGTATATATCTATAGTATGATTTCTATTGTAGCACCTAAAAAAAATTGTTCACTTCACAAAGTACTAGGCTATAGGTATATTAAAAATGAATGATGTCGAATAGATTTTTGAAAATTTCTTGTGAACGTTTGCAGCTCAACAACCTAGCGGTACCGTAGCCCCTTCAGTGGCTCCCTCTGCAGACAATCAGAAGAAGCCTGCTGAAGAAGCAGCAGTAGCACCAGTAGTACCAGTAGAGCCAATCATCCCAGAAAAACCTGAAGAAACGCAGGGAGAAAACGAAATAGACGCAAAGAAAGAAACGCTAGTAACTTCTCAATAAACTGGGAGAAGTCGTGTTTTGAGATTATTTAAATGTGCCAAGACTTATGTGACTAGATTAGAATTAGGGTTTTAGAATTAGCTAAATTATTTATTTAAGTTCACAACATTCACGATTTATCATTTTCATTGAAATAAAAGAATAAATAAATACAGAAAGCTCGAAGTCAATTGTAGATGACGGACGAAGAACGACTACTTTCCTGGCTGATGCCCTCGTCGAAAGATAATATCCGATGGACCATGTGGACTCATGTGGTGCTCATATACAACAAGAATTCTAATCCACATGTTGAATTACACTGGATCAGAGATTATACACAATCTCTGCATGGGTTCTTTATTTCATTTTTTCACGCCTTTGGATATTCCAAAAATTATATGAGCCATCACAAATTTTCATTTTCGAATGTTTCGTTCACAAAAATTGACAGTTTCGGATAATAAAAAAAAAACAGAAAATGTAAATTTTTGTAAACGAAACATTTGAAACATCCCATTTGTATACATAAATCTGTCGATCACTGTATAAACAAGCAATGACAATATACTTTGTGATTTCGAAATTACATACTATACTTTATCTACGATTTCTAATCAAAATTTATAATTTATAGGTGCTAATCCAAAATAATTATCTGATTTTTTTAGTTCGAATTCATTCATCGAGAAATAAAAGTGAAAATATACCATGGCGGATGAATAAGTCATGTACCACTCAGGAAAAAAAATCACAAAAATTATCAAACTCATTGAAAGAATAGGAGAAAGAGAGATTCACCCTGTAGATGTTTTTCCATGTCCTCTAGTGTCCGTCCTATTTGCATCTCGGGATGGTTGCAATTCCTCGGCCGGATGACATTATGATGACGATGATTTGGCGTGGTGAAACAATCCCAATCCAAAATTAAAACTGTATAGGAGGACCATATTGATGAATTGACAATTCGAGTCGATCAGTTTTGTGTTCTGACTTGACCTAATTCCTAGGTACAGAGAATGATCTATACAGAGTATAATTCGCGAGATGAACATTAGGATTTTTTAGTGGGTGAAGCAAGATTTCAGGATTCGTTTTAATAAAACCAGTAAAACTATACAGGTAAAATAATACATTTTTGAAAAACTCCAATACCACAACACATATTCAGAAAAACGACAGGAAAGATTCGTATAGTGTCCATCCAAATTTTTAACGACAAAGCGAAAAAGTACGTATCAGAGCTTTTAGGCCAGAGCAGATATGTGGGTTATCGAACATACAAAAAATTTCAAAAAAATGTTGAATTTATTCGAGAAAAAGCTATGCAAAATAGTGATCTCACCCTTCTGTCAAACAGTCTACTAGAAACTTCCCCTCAAATTGCATACCCATGTTTTTTTCGGTTCATCTTATCAATTCGACTATACATCACAATCGATGTAGCATTTTAGTCAAAATCATAAAGAAGTAAGTGATTTTGCATGCGTGTTATATTGTTACACCCAGCATTCCTTGAAAAATCACAACTGCACAGCACTTTATCAAAACTCCTTCATCCATAGAACGGCTAGGCTCTGGAATTCATTGCATGAGGAAGTATTCCCAACAACATACAATCTCCAGAAGTTCAAAAAAAATTCCAATACCTACCTCCTGCCTCTATCCTCCCTAGGAACGCACGATGTTCTTTGAACATTATAGGAATTTCCTTTCGTGCGCTCCAAGCGATAAAAAAAGTCTGAATATGCGATAAAAGGTAAGTGTATAGCAAGTGATACCAGTCATTTCAAACAATCATTCAAGGAAACGTCGATATTTTTTCATGGAGATCATTGAAATTAACCGAAATTTCTGAGGAATAATTTTCTGTTGAATATTTAGTCCGAGATATCACTGAATTGAGAAATGAAGAATTTTATAAGAACCGAGAAAACATGGGGGTGCAATTCGAAAAACCGAAGTTAGGGATGGCTTTTAGTAGATTGGGGATGATTCGATTTCATTTTCTTGAAGAGCTTTCGCTCCCATATTCCAAAATATTTTGGTTTGGTTTTGATTTTTTTTTTGTATGTTAGATAACCCAGATATTTGTTGGCCTAAAAGCTCTGGATTTTCGCCACGTTATACCTCAGACACCCTGTATAGCTTCGCAATATAGTTCTTCATTATATACTACGACAATGATTCCATTAGGCTTGAGTAATGAAAAATTCCACCGTTTTCAAGTTATTTCACCTCATTAGATTAGAAATTATCAACCCAATTAGTTTTTTCTTGAATAGTTATGAGTAGCCTATCTACTTTTGATTTTCAATTGACCTTCACGTGTATTTTGTATTGGATGATCTTCTGAAGAATGATAAAATAGGTGCCATTTTATTTGTTATACTCGCTCTTTAAAAAGGATTACTTGCAACTTTTCTGCAGATTTTATTAAAACTTCACCTAGGTATCTGCGAACGAAAAATTCAACATCTTGAAATTCCAAAATTCATGATCTAACCTTCCACTGACATTCAATTTAGGTTAGGTACCAAACTCAACCTCTTATTGAACATCCCTAGGTGATTTTTCGTGGAAAGTTTTCGATTTTCATCACACGTAGGGCCATAATATGGATAAGCAACTCCATTTCTCGAAAACAGACATTGATGCCAGTTGGGGATTTCGCCTGGTAGGGGGGTCAGATTTTAACCAGCCCCTATTGGTTGTGAAGGTGAGACTAATATTTGTCCATAGCATTGATTCTTTTGGTTTACACAAACACTTAGAGCAAATTTTTGTTTTTCTTGAAATCCCAAACAGCAAAATATGTTTGCATCTTCCCGTCAACCTTGGATCATATCATACGCTAAATGTTGATGAACAAGTTTATAGCCTATCGAATAACCCAACTTGACCTCAGTAAAAACCTCACGGTTTTCGGGGCTTTATTGAAAATTTTACATACAAAATATAGCTGCAATCGAAAATATGCCTTCTACAATTGTGACAACTACTATTCAGTTCATAAATAAAGGGTAGTTCAAGATTCAAATATTCTGATCACCCTGTATCTGTCCCAATTAAATGTCAGTAGAGAGTAAATCATAAGTTAAGATAGGCACACATAAGCCGTTTTGAAAATCCTAAAGTTGAAAAATCTCGATTTTGAACACCCTATATCTCTGTAATCATTTCCGCTAGACCCCATGTGTGATTGATGAAATCAGCTCTTCAGGGAGATCCTAAGAATGCAATAATTCACAGGGTGTTCCATTAAAATAAACTGATCATCAGCCGATATGTTGGAATTCGAACACCCTATAAATATGAAAATAATTTTAGGTGATAGTTCTCATGGAAATTTTGTGGAAATCCTATCGATTGTGAAGTTTTTCACATGCTCCTTATTTGCTTTTAACGTAAAAGAATGATCTGAGATAGGAATTCAATTTTTTTTATAAAAGTCCCAATATCTCTGAAAGTTTTTACTGAGGTCAAGTTGTGGTTTCCTGATTGGTTTTGTACTGGTTTATCACCAGCTACAGTATAGTATGATCCATGGTTCACCAGACACCCTGTGAATAAAACTATTTTTCGATGTGTAGGTGAATGAGAATAGTTTGGCAGAACAGTGTGGACTTGAAGTTGGAGATCTAATACTCAGTATAAATGATAGTCCAACTGTTGGACTGACACACAGTGAAGTCCATGATTTTATTACGTCATCCGGTTTGAATTTCACACTTGGAATCCGCAGGTACAGTTGAAAATCGCCTTTGCTAATCAACAATTCATATTTATTTTCTTGATTTCTCAGGGGAATTGTTCCGATTGAAATTATACATGTAAGTTGACACGCAAATATCAATAGAGAAGAAGCTTTAGGACGTATAGTAGTTTTTTTTAGGAAGGAGAATTGAGTTTCGAATTCCAAGATTTTCTCAAGGGAATTCAGACCTCCATAGAAGAAGATATTTTTGCCCAAGCTGCTGATATAGTGGAAAAACTGAATGAAGAGAGTATGGATACTATCCAAATAAGAATAAAATAAAACTCAACCCGTGATATTTTCCAGATTTGAGAAGAAACAAAGAACCATCAGTGAACAAACAGAAAAAAATGGTGTTCTCTAACGCTACTCAGACTCAACTGTCACTAGAAGATGAAGAAAAAACGAATAAATTTTCCACATTTATGATGAAGCCTGACAAGCCTATACCAAAGCCCAAGAGAAAAAAAGAAGAACCAAAACCAGATGTAAGGAAAATAACAACGCTCAATTACAGTTTTTCGATTTTTCATATTGCACTTTTCAGCAAGAATCATACAAGGTGGTTATCAAGAGGCAAGCATCAGGAAGAAAATATTTCAAAGAGAAGAAAGTGCAATTCGATCAAAACATTGTAGGTGCAAAAATCCAAAATCTATCTTAGCTCAATTCAAATTTCTTTATATTCCAGACCGAAATGGAAATCGAAGCAAGATCTGAAACAACTGAAGACAATTCCCAAGAAATCGTAGACGAAACTGAAGAAAATAACGGCGAAGCATCAGATCTCCTCAGTATTGAAGAAATTCATGAAGAATATGAAGAAAATATCGACCATGACAATAATAATCACTACGAAACAGAAGACTATGCAGAAGAGAATGGTGCAGAAGAAAATGGTAAAAAAATCAAGCAAAGCGTAGTTATTTAGTTCAATTTTATAAAATTTGTGACCGTGAGCTCAAATCTAATATTTTCCGGGCATAATACACTTTTTTTTTCGTGACAGGAAAACTAACTTCATATTATTGTACTTCATGCTTTCGAACCTTCATATGCAAAAAATCACCTCATTCCGAATTACAGAACTGGCTTAATTTTTTTCATTTTCAGCCTCGGAAAATAGTGAATTCAAATCAACTGCAAATTTCGGAAAATTTTATAGCTCCGGTAGCTAGAAAATCATGATGTGAAAGAAAAAACAAGACATACTATTTTATGTTGAACTCACTGTTATCGAGTTAATTAGTATTACGTCCATGAAAATGCTGTTCAGATAAGCCTGTTTTTTCGTAAACCTTCATAGAAATTATATGACTTTACATATGAGGGTGTGAAACAATGAAGAACATTATTATGAGGTCAGTTTTTCTGCTAAAAAATCCCAATGATTTCATAAAAAATGTACCCTTCTCATTTCAATAAAAATGCACGACACTGTCAAAAATCATGTCGTGTCTCTGAAAAACTGATCATATTGATGCTTATACATACCGGTCCAAATTTGGTGAAGATCGCACGAGTCATAGCTGAGATATAGAGGGGAAGCCGTTATCAAATGAAACACGCTGTATATACGGTAAAAAGTAGGTTCTCACTTTTTTCTAGTGGAAAAAATTGTTATTTGTTTTACTAGGCAGGGAAGGAATTGAGCCAAGGCAGTCAATCTACTTTGCTGCCATGTGAATCAAAGTTTTTTCTCCAAATGTTATAAAAGTAATATTGTTTGATTTTTTTATTGAGAACTCCATCATTTTGTGTTCACCCAATGTCAGTGTCAATTTTATGTCAAATTACTTGAAAAGATGCATAGCCAACAAACTTCTTCTGCTTAGTCACAGAAAATACTTCTTTACTGCCTGTTGAGTGTCATATAGACAAACCACTTTCTATGCCGTTTTGAAGAATTAAGTAATTTTATGAAAAGTGACATTTTGTAACATGCCAACAGAGATGAATTATCGAAACATTTTCCCGTCACGAAAAAATAGTTATTTTTCTCTAAACGGCATAGAAAGTGGCTTTTCTGTGACATTTAACAGGCAGCAAAGGTGCACTTTCTCTGCCTAGGCAAAAAAAGTTTGTATCTATGCAACGTTCCAAGTAATTTGGATGAAATTGGTAATCAAAATTGACACTGACATTGGGTGAACACGAAAAGATGCGAGATTACACAGAATTGGTTTTATAACATGTGAAAAAAAAAATTTCACATGGCAGCAAAGTAGGTTGACTGATTTGGCTGAATTCCTAGCCGAGCGTGTTCACCCAATGTAATTTTCGATTTTGATTACGAATTTCATTTAAATTACTTGGAACGTTGCACAGCAACAAACTTTTTCTGCCTAGGCAGAGAAATTACACCTTTGCTGCCTCTCAAGTGTCATAGAAAAGCCACTTTCTATGCCGTTTGGAGAAAAACACATTTTCTAATTTGATTTTAGAAGAGCAACCCCTGGAAATCAAGTACAAACCCCTATCAGAGATAAGAGTAGACAGTTCATCGGAACTGTCGATGACCTTGGAGGAGCAGCTGTTGGCCGTGCAGAAACAGTTGCAGGCGCTGTCACAGCTGCCATCTGCTATCCAGATGACCTTGGACGCTGTCTCCAAGCAGCTGGCTAGCATAGTGAGTGCCAAAGAAGATTCAGAAGAGAAAGACAAACGAGAAGAAAATCATGAAAACGGAACAGAAGACGGTAGTGACGAGGATAGAGGTATACTCGGGAGATACGAACATGGTTTTCAAAGAAGATTGTCAGTCACGTGACAGATCATTTATGGAACTAAGAATTAGATATGTCGATAATATACATGATGACCATTTTAAAACAAAACAGAGACTCTGTAAAAAAACACATGAACACGTCAACCATATTTGGAGTGGACATCATTCTTAAAATAATATTTCCAGCACGGCGGCGTTGCCGCTTCTATCGAAAAGTAGCAACAACTTTGATATCTCAAATGAAATACCCTGTATTTCACTGCATTTTTAAGATTCTCCCTGGAGAGCTGATCTAGGTATAGCGGGAATGATTACAGAGATATAGGGTGTTCAAAATCAAGACTTTTCAATTTCAGGATTTCTTTGTGTCGAGACTATTCGATCGGTTGCCATGTCCCTATATTGACTTTTGATTCACTGTCTACTGAAATTTAATTGGAACAAATACAGGGTGGGTCGAGATTCAGAGTCCTGATCACCCTGAATAGTTTCAACAGAAAATAATTCGAAAGTTGAAATATCCAAATTTTGAACTCTTGATATCTCTGTAATCATTCCCGCTAGACCCCAAGTTTGTATTATTGATGGAATCAGCTCTTCACGGAAAATTTAACACTGCAGAGTTGGAAATATTTTAGATCGATGTCGAATGTAGTTGACGTGTTCCACTGTTTTTTTTAATAATCCGGTTCTGGCACCTACAGAGCCCTGATTAGTTTTCAAATGATCACCCTGTATTATAATATCTGATTGTGGGATAATCTGCGATTGATTGTCAATTATTTGAAGAAGATCTTTAACAACCGTTTCCCATCGTCCAAATAAACCATTGGTTGCTGTTTTCTGTTATAGATTATCTTGGCAATATTTTTTTTATTTCTCAAAAAACTCTATATCTTGAACATGTGTGAAAAGAAGATGCCGCATTGAAACCGGTCACGTGGTACTCAATATCAATGATAAAGACACCAAAATCCTCATTTACGACAGAATACTAAACATTCAAATCCGTTCATGGGTCTCCCTGAAAGGTCTGTAAAAAATGATACCACAGACTCTTGAGACCAAAGTGATATGACTGAACCAAACCATAGACTACAGAAGAAGTCATTCAGTAATCTTTGACCAAACTCACCTGTATGGCCATACGCCCCGTTTAGCTGCTATACAGGGTGTAAATTTTAAAACTTTCAATGCGAATATCTCGCGAAATAAAAAAGTTAGAAAAACGCCGCTTGCAAAAATGCTAAAGAGTTAAGGGGAACTAGAACCACCATATTTTAGTGAAGGGATGAGTCACCCTGTCAGCGCAACACACCCCAACTTTGAAATGTCAAATGGCACTACCTCTTTTGTGATACCTCAAATGAACGGTCTCAGTCAGTAGTATTCACCTTCACTTATTTTCCACCCACTACAGGGTGAACGGAAAACATAAAGTCGAATAAAATAAAATGCAGAATGCCGATAAATTCCAAGAGATGTGTTCCAAAATGTTAGAATGGCATTTTAACATCGATTATACTATTGCTTACAACAGAATGGAATGCATTTTGAACATCTGATCAAATAAAATATCCTTTTAACACAATTCATTTTATTTTATTCGACTTTATATTTTTCGTACACCCTGTAGTGGGTGGAAAAAAAGTCTTGTACAGGTGAATACTACTGGCTGAGACTGTTCATTTGAGGCATCACAAAAAAGGTAGTGCCATTTGACATTTCAAAGTTGGGGTGTGTCGCGCCGACGGGGTGACTCATCCCTTGACCGAAATATGGTGGTTCTAGTTCCCCTTAACTCTTTAGCATTTTTGCCAAGCGGCGTTTTTTTAACTTTTTTCTTTCGCGAGATATTCGCATTGGAAGTTTTCAAATTTACACCCTGTATATTCCATAACATTTTGATTAACATATTACTTGGAGTACTGTTGATCGAAAAATTGATAGAGCTTCTTCTGAGTACGACACTGAACAGATCTCAATGTTGTTTTCTACTATCTCATTCAATACCTAGTTTTCATCCCTCTTGAAAGTTCGTGATATTTATATTGGTTTGCAAGTTGATTGACCAAATTCAATCCGCCCAAAACATAGCCTATTATGAGTAGAAAATGTTTACAAAAGCTGTTTTCGGTACGACAAACGGTTCTAGAGATATTCGCAAAAAACGATGTCAACACCCCTGTATCTTTAAAATGGTTTATTTTAGAGGGTAAGTTAATAGAAACTTTTTCTCATATTTATGGACGAGCTATCACATCCTGAATATACAATGAAACACCCTGTATGTTCAGGTTGCATTGAGGAAACGTCTGAAGATGAAGCAAGGGCCGAAACCACCCAAGAGCTGAATGGAGGCAGCGATTCGAGCTTAGATGGAGACTTCGATGATGATTCCATAGCTGAGGAGGAAATCGAGGCCATCTTGAAGAGAGCAAGGCTCGAAGAAGGTGGAGAAACGGAAGTTGAAGAAGAACAAGTCGAAGAAATTTCGGAGGAAGAAAGGCAGGCGCAGATCAAAGAACAGGAAATGCTAGCCAAAAAGGAGAAGGTGAGGTTGATTCGACTGTTTTTGAAGTGACAACTTCTACCAGGTGCTCAAGTATTGAATATAAATATGCATGATTTGACGTGTTCAATTGTTTTCTGTCAATTCCGGTTTGACCAGAAATTACCCATTCTGTCCAAAAAAGGGCAATTCGTCTCGTGGGTGATGCCTCGCTCACAAACTCACTCACTTCTCTGGAAAACCGTAGAAAAGTTTGCGATCTGGCTCTATTTTATAGATATGTTCATGGACGATGCTCTTCTGAAATATCAACAATTGTACCTCCCTTGGCAGTCCCCGTGAGATTAACTCGTCGAGTTGAGGCTTCGCACCCCTTCGTGGTCACTTTGGAGATCTGCAGAACATCTCTTTCCAAGGACTCGTTCATCCAACGAACAGCAAGTCTCTGGAACACATTGCCAAGGGAGGTGTTCTCCGAGGCATATAACCTCTAGAAATCTAAGAAGATCACAAATTCCTACCTTATTTTCCTTGGTTCTCACGATGATCTCTGAACATTACAGGATATCCCTTTTCGTGAGAACCAGAACAAAAAAAAATTGAATAGGACACTTTTCTTATATTTCAAAACCTTGAGTTGACATTTAATTAGGATTTTGTAAACCTTAAATGTACGTACCTGTGAAACAAATGGAAAGTAAAACTTCATCGAAACTATTTTTCTTTGGCAATTTGATTGAAAATCAACGGTTTCAACTCATCCATGACACTCTAGATTGAAAATTGAAAATTTCAGGATGAGAATTGTCAAAAATATACCGGGTGTCCCATTTGAAATAAGAACATGAGGGTAATTTCCAGTCACACTGAAAGTGATAGAGAACAATTGAATATGTCAAATAATGCATATTTATGTAATATATTTTCACACCGGATTTCATTTGTTTATCTGTAGAGACAAAAAAGTTATAGGGGTGAGCAACTTTTGAGAAGTACCCGTACAGGCCTGTTATGCATTTTTTGAGATGGAAGTGAACCAACAAACTCGCGTCACGGAAGTCTATAAACTGTATATCGTGTAAACTGAAAGATGTTGGAAATACTGACCGGCCATAGAAGATATCAATTCCGACCTACACAAGTTTTTTTTTAAGGAAACTACGAAAGCTTTGCCCCTTCACCTCTATATACTGCAATTTATATCATATCAGAATATTTATAGTCCTTATTCTAAGTGGAACAAATAAATACTGAATTTATGTATTGTTCGTTACAAAAACTTCTACATCGTTAGTTTACTAATGCATCCACATTGAGATTTCCATTGATATTATACAGGAAACCTCAAAATTCACAGTTTCCAAAATAGAATTTTCCATAATATGCACGTATATTTTCAATCAAGCCGTTGTTGTTGTTGAAAACGACTGGAAAGCAAAAGGTTGAAGTTGAACGTTAGTAATTTTTGTTCAATTGCCAAATTCAAGACACACATGGCCAAAATTTCGAAATCGCTGCTCCTATTGACAAAATTAGATAAGCAATAGCTTATGTGTCTAACAATATCGAATCGGTTTTAGTATCAATAACTCTCAACGAATTCGAAGTGCGTTATGTTCGGATACAATGGAGTGAGTTATAATAACACTAGATCAGTTTCATATTCACAATTTTATGTTGATGATCATTTGAAATATTAGTTTTCCTAGTGGTTCCACAAATTAATGTTCTTTCCAAAATTACGTCCAATGTAACTTTGTAGCCACAATTTCTTTCAAAGAGGTGCCATTTTTCCTTTATGAAAATGGTGAAATCAAGATCACCCAATAGATCACCATCTTCGTCAACTTGTCAAATAAAAGTGTCAAATGACATTACCAGAGTTAATTTACGTAGAAGACCTTGCGGGGAAAATTCTATAGTTATTAACGTTACAAGGCCGATATGTAATTAATTATATATAATTATTGTAATCCGAGGCGCGGCCGAGGATCATAACAACCGAATCCGTTATTTGCGTATCGGCCATATCTTGTTCAAGACTTTTCACTGTTAAAAACCGTCTAGATCAACATACAATTTCAGTTGTTATTCTTGTAGTTTAGCAACCCGTGAATTCAACAACCAGTTGATTCAATAAAAAATACAGGAAAGAGTAGAGGTGGTACCTCACAGATACTTTTTTCGATAAGATCAATTGTTTCAGTTATGAATTTCCCTGTCAGAAGATAGACATCAATTATTTTCGTAGTTTAGCAACCCGTGGATTCAACAAACTGTTGATTTAAAAACTCAAAAATACAGGAAAAAGTTGAAGTACCTCACAATGGACATTAGTTATTTTTATAATTCTGCAACCTGTTGATTCAACAACTTGTTGATTCAACTACTTGTTGATTCAACTACTTGTTGATTCAACTACTTGTTGATTCAACTACTTGTTGATTCAACTACTTGTTGATTCAACCACTTTTTGATTTGACCACTTGTTGATTCAACCACTTGTTGATTCATCAACCTGCTGAACCGTTTCGATCACGAATTGGCTCATCAGGACAGGGTAGCCAGGCCGATCCAGCGACCGATCATTCTGCCTGGCGGTCGAAAATGGTCGAATCCCGAGGACGCGATGCCGACCTTCCGAAAGCCGAGGATGTCCGAGGAGAAGATCATCGAGACGATCGAGGGCAGCCTGGAGCCGATAGCAGGAAAAAGAAAGGGGTAGGCACGTCTGGTCAGTCGGGTCACCTAACCGGGGGTGTGTTTTTCAGGTGGACATGTGGAACGTGACCTGGCCGTGGTCGGACAGGGTCAAGCCGGTATACAGGTAGTAATGCCTTTGCCTCATTACCATCTAAAGACAGCACTGCATCTAATAATCCCGCGCGACTCGCTAGAGGTGATCGTATGAATTTGTTTTGTACAGGGTGTGTCCTTATCTTTTGACCCCCACCTACAGCTACAACTATACGAGGTGCAAAAAAAATTCAATATGAAAGTTGTAGAGTTTCATCTGTACTATCTTTTGGCACCTCCTTAAGTGCCTAAACGAACAGATGCGAATCGCTAAATGAAGAAAAAGAGTCCAAATCAGTTTTTTTAAATTGAACACCCACTAGTGATAGATCTTTTTTTTTTTTTTTTTCGTTTACAAAAATGTATGATTTGCTAGAGTTCCCTTGAGTCGTTTTTCTCTTATTCAGCTGTTACAATATTGGATCAAAATTGCCAATAACACTCAGATAGCCGTGGACACAAAATAATTCCATGGGAAGAGAACAGGCGTTTTTTGACATATCTGTCGGTTACTCAAATCAAAATGGGTTATTCCCAAGAGAAAAAATACGAAATAGTAAGATTGCATTATGAAAATATTGCAAGAATTTCAGTAGTGCAGCAAGAATGTAGTCGAAAACGGCTTAAGGTAACATTAGCAAACTATACAGGGTGTCTCAGGTTTAACTCATCTACCTTTGACAATCGATAGCAAAAGTTAGAATATTTTACACGTATTTTTTTGTTTTGTCGTGGAGAAACTTGTTGCTCGAACGGACCGGGATTATTATATGCGGTGCTATGTTTAGACGATGGTCTTTACCTCAGCCCGCGAGTGTCGTGTCAGTCGGGGTTTGTTTGTGTCGTAGTAGGTACGTCACGTATGTCGATGAATCGAAAGAAAAAATAGAGAAATAAATAGAATTGTAAAGAGTGTTTCTTCAAATATTGTTGGAAATTATAAGGGTAGAATCCTATCAACATAGGACTTCATATTTTTCCAAATCCCTTTTTTCAACGACTTCAATGAAAATATAAGAAAATAAATAAAATTATACAGGGTGTTACATAAATATTGTTAAAAATTTCAAGTTTGGAATCCCAGCCAAAGAAAGCTTCCTATATTCTGCCAAAAGCCCTTATTTTTTCTTATACATCCTGTATAACAACCTTATATTTCTTTAGAAATAATGTTGATCATTCCCCAACCATTTGAGTTTATAATGTATTGTTGATTTTCATGTTTTTATTCACTTGGATCAAGAACAAAAAAATCATAAACATAAAGCTTGTATTTTAAATTGCTTCAAATCTCAAAAATTTGCTTGAATGCCCCTTCAGGAGCCACTGGAATAAATAAAAAAATACTTATGACATAAGAAACAGTGTTCCGTAATTTCCTGGATGGCAATAAAATACGAAAACCTACTTGATACCATATACATCTCCAAAATGGATCTCTCGAACTATTTAATTATCATTTTGTTTCGTTAGGATCAATTTATATATATCATCCTGTACATTTATTCGAAATGAGTTGAGTTACCATTGAATCATTAGGGGGTTTTGATTAATTATTGTTTGACAGGCTTGTCAGGAAATTGTGCTAGGTCAATGGATGATGAATTTTGGAGATTAAAGAGTTCAACCAGAACTAGCATTCGACTCATTTGTCCATAATACTACATGGTGGCAGCGGTGGCATCCGAACACACGCCTCTAATTTTGTTCACAATATGACCCTGTACACTACACTCACCAGCAAACAATCGGACAGATGGGTCAACCGTTATACAGGGAGCAATAAAATTTTACCCTCAACACCTTTAACTTCTAACGAGTATGCTCCTCGAGCTTGAATTACAGCAGTCAACCGCCATATTTGCCTCAAATTTTTCTTAGCTCGAAGCTCTTGGAGCATCTCTGACAAAGTCGGATGATGACGAATCGGAGAAGATTTAAAAAAGTTATTGGGCGATCAAATTGGCAAATTGTTTTTCTGTCTGTTGGTGTATTTTTTTACATCCTTCCATATTCAGAGTCGAAATATGTGACGTACCTATTTACGTAAAACAGCATGCTTTTTTAGATTTGAAACTTTCAGAGAGTCAAATTGTTGGAGAGTTCCAAGCAAGGCTGTAGCAAACAAAAAGTAAGTACCTACTTCATCACATCTTGTCATTTTTCCAAGTACGGGTGTCCCAAGTGATCATTATATTGATATGACAAGAATTATCTCGGTCAAAGTCAAAGATGGTAATCGATTTTCAATTGAATGTCAAAGGTTGATCTTCTGTAATAATTATGTTCATATCAATTTTTTTCATCTCAAAATCAAGATACATCTTAATATATCGGTAAGAATGTGCAAATACTATTGCGAAGGAAATTTTGTTCATGAATTTCTGAAAAAAAAAATGGGACGGTGTTCAATTTAAGCAATATCAACTTGAAGTTTCTCGGAGTGTTTTTTTTTCACGACATCGAAAATGATTAGTTGAAATCACATGATACGTGTGGAAGTTATTATTTTAGTCCAGTAATATTGAAGTATACATATAGTATAAAAAAGCTGAAAAAATTTATCAGTACCATTTTAATTATCTACCTACCTTCATCTGGGATATTTGCAAAAAAAAAATCAATTAACATTCATTTTCATCAATCATTCAAGTCAGTCATATGAATGAAAAATCACGTTTGTCTGTTGGTAAGAATATTTCCCCTTCTCAAAGTTGTTTCCTAAATGAAAGTATCAACTTGTACTAATTTTTTTCAACATCTACTTCGTTTCTTATAATACAGTATGAACAAGTTGAAAACTAACAATTAGGAAACCATATACTTATTAAACTAGGTATCTTTGTTCATGAGTGTTTTTTACTATAGGATCAACTTTCTGAAGTACCAACCGCCACCGAAAAATTTAGACTACCTGCAAAGATCTGAAGTTTACCGATTGGTCCATGACATGGAACCTCCTGTACGTGGAATAGTTTCGAGGCCCGAAAAAGTGCTACCCGAACAGGATTATTACGAGGTGTGAATATGTTGAGTATACTACGACGCGTCTGAACTGCCATCCTAAAAAACTTTTTTTTTCACGAATATTTGCCTAATTTTCAGTTGCAACTGTAAATCAGCACTAATATACAGTTGCAACTGTAAATGAGTCAGAAGAAACTTTTTTGAATATCTCCTAATCCACACTTGTAACGACCCGTCGTAGTTTACCAAGATTCTCAAATACAAAAAATTTTGGAAAAGTGCATTCAGTTTTCTTTTCGTATTTTGAATTTGACTCTTCACATAGGTATTAAGGAAGTATTTTTATTTTTTTAGGCGAGCAAAGAAGCCTCCTAGTACAAATGAGTGATGAATTTTGGAAATGTTATCTGACAATGTTCGAAAGTTGAAACACTAATTATACCTAATACAATTAAAGTAGCTCTGATTTTATTTTTTTTATTCTTCCCTCATTTCGTTTGACTTGGATCATGACATATTATGTTATGTACAATATACAATATACAAGATTCATTATCTAACTTTTTTCTTACTACAGTTTTCGAATGATTTCTCTCGATTTTCGAGATATCTATACTATAATAATTAATTTTGGTGATTCTTCATACTTGTTTATGATGTGTCAGGATTGCAATGTTTTTCAAGTTTTTACTTCATTTGTGTCGAGTTATATTGACCACAAAAATCATGTTCATGAACTAGGTACTTTAGCATATGATCACGTCATGCCTTTAATGCCTCTATCTATCGATCAGATGTATCATTTTCGAGTGAGATCGATTTGAAAATGTCGAATCAAAGTCAGTTGTAGCACCTCGAGAAAAAATATATACGTACGCAAAGTGGTTTCGCATCTTTTGAAGTTCGATTGGAGACCGTGCACGTGAAAGATTTTGGAAAATGGAGACGTAGCAGATCTAGTAACCTGACCTGAGATATCTTACCAGATCTAGTAACCCAACCTAAGATATGTTACCAGATCTAGTAACCCAACCTAAGATATGTTACCAGATCTAGTAACCTAACCTGAGATATGTTACCAGATCTAGTAACCTAAGCTGAGATATGTTACCAGATCTAGTAACCCAACCTAAGATATGTTACCAGATCTAGTAACCCAACCTAAGATATGTTACCAGATCTAGTAACCCAACCTAAGATATGTTACCAGATCTAGTAACCTAACCTGAGATATGTTACCAGATCTAGTAACCTAACCTGAGATATGTTACCAGATCTAGTAACCTAACCTGAGATAGCATATGATCACGTCATAATTTTTTTTATATAGAAGCCTATTTTAAGTCCTTGATACATATCTACTTCAATATTTTTATACTGACTTATGAGTATTTGGCAATGAATATCACATAGTTACTTCAGGCTGCTTTACATTGATAAACAGTCAAGTGACGATAAGAAATGTCCGAAAACGTGTGCAAAAAATTTACATCTATTTCAGTCACGCCTATGGTTCTGGTTTGCGAGAACTTTCACAAGGCCATAAAACTCACATGGTCTCGAACTGCAATTCGCATTTATATTTTGGTAATACTCGTGAATTATCACAATTCAAGGTCAACGGTTACTTTTTCCTTCTCACTTTTTGTGCTCATGAGGAATATGAATGTTCTGAATTAGTGTTGGGACTACCGAGTTTCTCATAAGTATGTTTTTCTCCAAATGACTTTGAAAGTGGATTTTTAATGACCCTTAACAGGCAGAAAAGGTGTACTTTTATTGCCTAGGCAGAAAAAGTTTATTGCTATGCAACTTTCCAAGTAATTTGAATCAAAGTGGTAATCAAAATTGACAATGACTTTGGTTGAACAAAAAATGATGGATTATTTGGACTTGGCGTGAAATTGAGAGGAATTTGAAGAAAAAATTAAATGCTTCACATGGCCGAAAAAGAAGATGTAATGCCTAGGCTATGAAACGCCAGCCGCGGCATTAAATCTTGTACTTTTCTGCCTAGTAAAACAAATAACTATTTTCTCCAAGCGACAGGGAAAGTGGATTTTCTTTGACACCTAACAGGCAACAAAATATTAGCCGTTTTAATCGACAATGAATATTTTCGACACGAAAAAATCCTGAAATTGAAAAATCTCGATTTTGAACACCCTATATCTCTGTAAACATTCCTGCTAGACCCAAAGTGTGATGCATTGATGAAATCAGCTCTTCAGGAAGAATCTAAACATGCAATAAAATAGAGGGTGTTCCATCTGAAATAACGAAGTTGCTAGTTGTTTCTGATAAAAGTGGCAACACTGTATCGATGAAAATATTTTATACGGATAGAGAATCTTCAATTATCGAAGCATTCCAATTTTCAGGATGTCCTGTCTTTTTATTCTCCAGATACTTTCAATATAGGCTATCCACCGTGGATCACCCTGTATATACCCTGAAAGTTGGAATTATACCTTGAAAATTCATGTACACGTAGACCTTTTGATGCACATTGTATGAGGATAACCCCCCGCCATTTTTGCTACATCGACCGGTATACCTCGAACCCTTCGGAAAAATACAGGGTCACGTCTATGTGTTCATGATCCAGACGCACTAAATCGCGAATCACGCGTTTATTTAGAGTGCTGCTTTCATTAAGATCAGATCACATGGTACTGCTATCGCTAGCAGACAGTCTCGGAAACCAACTTTCCAAAAAAAATGGCAGCGATAGTGATTTTTGTAGCATCTGCCCTAGTGGTCTACATGCTATATCGGTGGTACCAGGAAAGATTGGACATGGAGAGAAAATTGAAGTGGGTTCCGAAAGTGCCTGGAGTGCCAATACTGGGAAACGTACTGGATTTCGGGAAATCTACAGGTAAGATGACACTTTGTTTTGTTTATAAACAACCGGACGAAAAGTGGCACTTTATCGCCTGCGGACTACTTTACCGCCCAGCGTATAGGTAACTCCTAATAGGCATTTCTTCACAAATCAGGACATTCATGTTTCTGTTGTGATGGTTCCTGTACAATTCAGTTCTCTCGATATGATCGAACCCAAAATCAGTTATCTGTGATGATATTTACAGTAGCGGCGTTAGGGTAGGGCGCGGTTGGGCGACCGCCTAGGGCGCCGGATGGAAAGGGGCGCCGCAGACACCCCAATTAATCCTTCAAATTCTCCAAATTAATATCATGAGCGCATCTCTCTACAATCAACAGATATAGATCTCAGTAAATGCACAAAAATGTTGAAAGAATGCTGCACTTTCTCCTAAGAATAAAGAAATACAAACTCTAAAATCGCCATTTTAACTGCAGAGGAATAGGCTGAAGAACAAGAAATTAAACCTAAGCCTGGAGAGTCTCGCTGTTCGTTGGATGTATGAGTCTTTGGAAACAGATGTTCTGCAGGTCTCCAAAGTGACCACGAAGGGATACGAAGCCTCAACTCGACGGGCTAATCTCGCGGGGACTGCCAAGAGAGGAACAATTGTTGATATTTCAGAAGAGCATCATCGTCCATGAAAATATCTATAAAATAGAGCCAAGAGCCATATCGCCAACTTTTCTACGGTGTTCCATAGAAATGAGTGAGTTTGTGAGCGAGGCATCACCCACGAGACGAAATGCTCTTTTTTGAACAGAATCCAACAGTTTCAGGGTATGTTTGGGTGCTGCACTCCAAATATGGGATCAGTAATCTAGGACAGGTCGGATCTGTGCTTTATGGATCATAAGCAGCTGACTGGAAGTGAAATAGCTCCTGGCTCGAAACAGAAAACCAAGTTTTTGGGATGCACTTTTAGCAATTGATCTTACGTGATTTTCCCAAGAAAGGTTATTGCTGATAGTAATACCTACCAAGCATCGAGATGGATGTCTTCAAAGGTATAGAAATGAATAGCATTGCGAATATTATTGACTAGATATACCTGTAATGGTTGCTAGTGGGGAGATGAGTTTATAAAAGAGTTTGCCAATACAACGGCTAGACAAGTGGAATCTATCAGTTTTTTCAAATAAATGGTTATTTTTTTAAATCAATTGATATTTCATTATACCCATTGCCTCCTGTGGAGTTGAATAACAGTAAGGGGGCGCCATAGAATTCTTGCCCAGGGCGCTGGTAGTGCTAAAACCGGCACTGGATATTTAATTGACAGCAAATATTATGATAGTCAAAAAATTGACTGAGTTAAATTTTGTATGTATTGAATGTATTACTAAGAGAATCACCAGAAAAATAATATATAAATTTTACGAACTACGGAATGTTTTGAGGGAGAACGTTGTTCTGATATAACAGTTTAGTAGTATATCTCTTCTCAGATATGGAATTGAGTGTCTGGAGCTCTGCATATGATAACATTCTGAAGCCGCTATATACGAGTCACCCAAAACTACATTTTGATAACTATATTTAAAAAACGAACTAGAGACAATGCTAAACCACTATTCACAAAAACTAACTGCTGCTTTCAGTACTCAAATATGTTAACAGCAAATCTGTCATTTCATGAAAACATTAAATGAAACCAAATTCTACTTGAGCATACAAAATATATTGTAAACAATTATGAACATTTGATAACATACTTAATATAAATTATAAACATCCTGTCTATCTATCTTTCACAACATAGGAAGCTACCTGCTAGCGTTCATTACATATTTTTTATTATTTCATTGATTAGATTAGGTGCGCATTATGTTTATTGATTTTTCTTTTTTTTTTTTTACTTTTTATAGATGTAAGTAGTTGAATAATGCAGGTAATATGAAATAATAGCAAATTACAGAGAAACTATCCCTTTTCATACTGCTTGCCACACACGAGTTTTCTCAGGTGTCAACTTTTGTAACCACCATGTTTGTAACTGCTGTGATGTTCCAAATCGAAACTCAAGAGATCGAAAAAACTAAAATGAAATTTCGGGCTAAACTTGCTATTTAACGTCCTTGATACATAATAGTTATTTATGTATCAAGGGCGTAAAATATGCTTTCATGTTGCGTGTAATACAACATTTTATGCACGACCGGTATATTCGATTTTTCATTGTGAAAACCACTTCACCTCTCAAGAAGGATATAAATTAGGAATATGAAAATGACAATGATTGAAAAATAACACTTTCCTGTGTGGAAATGAATTAATGACAACACAAATAACTTATTCTGGGTTCGATCATATCATTTTGAATCTTAGAAATATCAAGAGAAGTAAAATATTAGAAAATATCGCATCAGGTCTAATTGGCGATCGCAGCCTACCAGTGAAAATTTCAAATTTCACATCCATAATTTTCTTATTTTAATATAATGTAATATCTTCTCAATATTGAATCGTAGTTTTTCCTCTGCCATAGAAATAAAATAAATACTGTATATTTACACGGAAAATATATCAGATTTTAGCAATCAAATCGGTAGCAGATATTTAATTCACATATTATAATTACGGGAGTGGGACAGAAAATATGAGATTTATTTTTGAATTACTCACAATGAAACCAAAGGCCACCTAATTGATGGTGCCCAATTTGAAATGTTTCAAGGATCTGAATAAACAATGTAATTGCTAGAGAACTCTGTGATGAATGCAAAAACGAGTATTACATATTACATGTATATAATCATCATTAGGTCTACTTTTAGAATAAGTTATTAAAATGTTATTGGCTGATGAAAGAGTGTTGTTTGTTTATCTCAGCTTTGAACAAACAACTTTGTTTTTATACTCATACAGTTTGATGCAAACTGAATGAACCTATCATACATGGTATTTCTGTAATTGGGAGTGATAACAGATATCAAATGGGCAATAGAAGACGAAATATCAAAACAAGAAGGGAGAATACCTATACATTTATCGAAGTAATATTTGAAAAAAAAATTGGAGTTGAAGACATTTATATAAGGAAAAGGAAACATATCTTCGACTCAGATGTCGTATCCTGAAAAATTACCACATACAAGTCAATCGTATTTTTTCACAGAGTTTCTGAATACTTTGACAAAGTATAGTAACCAATATAGAGGATTGTGTCAGATGTCGTTGGTCCAAGATACATTTTTGGTAGCTTCGGACCACAGCTTTTTGGAGTTTCTTTTAACGTCCACGAAGGTCCTGAACAAATCTGCCTCATACAAATTTTTAGCACAATGGCTAGGAAAAGGGCTTATCTTGGCTGATGGTGAGTATCAGAGTCTAAATATACAAGGGGACAGAATAAGTTGTCTTGAAGTGGCCAATCGATTTTGTCAATCAAGATAAAATTTCTCGTTAATTAGATGACTAAATCTAATATTTAGGGAATGTTTCTTCAACATTTGTTGGACAGTATTTCAGAATCACATTGAACATACAGTCGTACCTGTGAAAGTAGGTATCACGGTTCATCTTTAATTATTTTAGGTGCAAAATCGAAAGTCAGCAGAAAATTTCTGACTCCATCTTTCCACTTCAAAATCCTAGAAGAATTCGTGGAGGTTTTTGAATCCAATGGCAACACCCTAGTCGAAATTTTGGAACAACAAACTGAGGAAACCACTGTTGATATTTACCCCTTCATTACTATGTGTACTTTGGATATCATATGTGGTACGTATACGCCGGTATATCCTTCAATTCCTGTATTGTCAGAAAAAAATTCAAGATGAATAAATTTTTTCTCCAAACGGCAGGGATAGTGGCTTTTTCCTGTCACTTAACAGGCATAAAAGGTGTACTTTTACTGTCTAGACAGAAAAGGTTTGTTGCTATGCATCGTACCAAGGAATTCAAATGAAATCAGTAATCAAAATCGACACTGACATTGAGTGAACACAAAATGATGGATAACATCAATGAAAAAATTACACAAAATTGTTTTTTTTTATCATTTGGAGAAAAATGTCTATGTTTTACACAGCAGCAAAACTTTTCTGCCTAATAAAACAAATAACTATTCTTCGGACTAGACAATCTTGCTTCATTATACAGTGTGGCCCTAATCGAACCATTACCGGAAATTATCTGTTTCTCAACCGATTTCAACCCTTTTTTTTTTTCATACAATCACTTTTTTCAAGGATTTATGTATGTACATTTGACAAGTACCAGTTGGTTATTTTATGAATTTTAGTCCCTGTTTGGAGAGACTTAATGATACACTTCATAGCCCTAGAAATACAATAGATTATCGGTATATATCTGACGACGAAGTTAAAAAATCTATTCTATCGACTCTGAAAATAAAAAAAATCCTAAAAACTAGCAAAAGTTCATCGCCAGTACCAAATATATAATTTCATGTTTGTATGGAAACTCTTTTGTGAATATAAAGTGCTATACAAGGTGTCCCGAAATTAGCCTGCCAAACTTCACCGCGGTTCTTGTTTCGTATCGATCAGATGTATCATTTTCGAGTGAGATCGATTTGAAAATGTCGAATCAAAGTCAGTTGTAGCACCTCGAGAAAAAATATATACGTACGCAAAGCGGTTTCGCATCTTTTGAAGTTCGATTGGAGACCGTGAAAGATTTTGGAAATGGAGACGTAGCAGACGTAGCAGATCTAGTAACCTGACCTGAGATATGTTATCAGATCTAGTAACCCAACCTAAGATATGTTACCAGATCTAGTAACCCAACCTAAGATATGTTACCAGATCTAGTAACCCAACCTAAGATATGTTACCAGATCTAGTAACCTAACCTGAGATATGTTACCAGATCTAGTAACCTAACCTGAGAAATGTTACCAGACCTAGTAACCTAACCTAAGATATGTTACCAGATCTAGTAACCTAACCTGAGATATGTTACCAGATCTAGTAACCTAACCTGAGATATGTTACCAGATCTAGTAACCTAACTTAAGATATGTTACCAGATCTAGTAACCTAACCTGAGATATGTTACCAGATTTAGTAACCTAACCTGAGATATGTTACCAGATCTAGTAACCTTACCTGAGATATGTTACCAGATCAGAAAAGAAGAAGAAAAAAAAATAAAGAGGTTAGGTTAGGTTACCGGGGTGCTCCTATTGGCAATAAAAGCGAAGAGCTGACTTTGAGCGCCGATATCTCGAAAACTATCTGTTCTATCGGGCTGATCATGGCCTCATTCGATTCAGCGTGTAATATTCTACTAAAAAAGCGATAATCCGCGTGGATTTCTGCTGTTTTCTGGCACTCTCGGACGTCCGAAGATGGCTCGGTGACAAATCGTACTAAAGTCTCAGGTGGGAAAATGAAAATGTTGATTTGGCTTATTAAAAATCTCAAAAAATTCACATAGACTAATTCGATGTCGTAATGAACGAATCTGAGGTGGAAATCGGGAAATTTTGGAAAATGGAGACGTAGTAGCCTACCGGAGTGCTCCTATTGGCAATAAAAGCAAAGAGCTGACTTTGAGCACCGATACCTCGAACACTATCCGTCCTATCGGGCTGATTATGGTCTCATTCGATTCAGCGTGTCATTTTCTATTGAGAGAGCGATAATTCGCGTGGATTTCGGTTGTTTTCTGGCCCTTTCGGCCGTCCGAAGATGGCTCGGTGACTATATCGTACGTAAGTCTTGGGTGGGAAAATGACAATTTTTATTTGGCTTATTAATAATCTGAAAAAATTCACATAGACTAATTCGATGTCATACTGAACGAATCTGTGGTGGAAATCGAGAAATTTCCGAAAATGGAGACGTAGTAGCTTAGCGGAGTGCTCCTATTGGCAATAAAAGCGGAAAGCTGACTTTGAGCGTCGATATCTCGAAAACTATCTGTCCTATCGGGCTGATCATGGTCTCATTCGATTCAGCGTATCATTTTCTATTGGAAAAGCGATAATCCTCGTGGATTTCCGCAGTTTTCTGGCACTTTCGGCCGTCCGAAGATGGCTCGGTGACCATATCGTACTGAAGTCTCAGGTGGGAAAATGAAAATTTGTATCTGGCTTATTAAAAATCTGAAAAAAATCACATAGACTAATTCGATGTCGTCATGAACGAATCTGTGGTGGAAATCGGGAAATTTTGGAAAATGGAGACGTAGTAGCCTACCGGAGTGCTCCTATTGGCAATAAAAGCTAAAAGCTGACTTTGAATTGTCATAGAGATGACTTCGCGTCAAATCCACATTGAGATCTGTTGACTATCGCACCTAAGACTTGATTTGACCGTCAACATCGCCAGACTCGATCCCAATTGATTTGTTTTTCTAGAATCCACGATGGGCGTATCTCTGAACGCCCAAAGGCACAACCAATCCGAATACGTGTTCGCAGTGAAAGAACTCTGCAGGATAGAAGTAGATAGAACCTTTTCGCCCTTCAAAATGTACGATTTGCTGTATCCTTTGTCGCGTGACTACTACAAAGAGAAAAAGTACGTCAAGATTCTGCACGATCAGACGGACTTCGTTATAAGGACGAGAAAGGCGGAACTGGAGAAAAATGGCGGAGAGAAAACTGACGAAGAAGCTGAGGAGACGGGGATGAAGAAGAAAATGGCCTTTTTGGATTTGATGTTGCAGGCTAGAGTGGACGGCCAAGCTCTCAGCGATCAAGAAATTCGTGAAGAAGTGGATACTTTCATGTTTGCGGTAAAAAAATGAGAATACATTTAGAAAATGGCCCAAATTGGAGCTGTTTCAGAATAATTCAATAGATATTTAAACACCAGGGACCAAGACTATAATCCCAAGGTGTATATTACATTTTTTTCACCACTAGCAATATATTTCAATCATTATAGTTCTGTGAAAGTGGAAATATGGACCTATTGTCACTATATGAAACACTTCTTTCCAATTCTAATTGAAATCTAGTAGCTATACCTACTATGACAGCATATATTATTGATAAAAACCTACTAGAATCGAGTTCCATTCCAACATCAGTATCTTTTAGTTATTTCATCGTTTCGAAATGTCAATCTACAGGGTGATATCTGAAAGTATGATGATTTTCGAAAATTTTGAGATCGCTTCATCTTATCACCCCCAATAAAAAAGAGAAAAAAATCCCAGCCAAACTGGGCGATATTTTCAGAAGTTGAAAAACCAACATGTTGAGGAATCTAATTTTTATATACATAACGAAGCAGCCAGAAACAAAACTATTACGAAAATTTGGCATCCTAGCTGCAAATTCATAATTCAATTGCTTTTATTTTATTTTAGGGGCACGACACAACTTCTTCAGCAATTGGATTCACTCTGTATTGTTTAGCTACAAATCCTCATATCCAGGTAATCCAGCCGAAAAAAAAACATTACATTTGATGAACAACTGAATTATAATAATTAGATCCCCTACTAACATCTACAAGGTTTTTGTCGATTCGTGTAAGATCAATTTTTTATTTTCGTAGTCTGAGGCTCTCGTGGAACAGAAATTGATTTTCGGAAATGACAGAAACAGGGCCGTAACGCACAGAGACTTACAAACTATGAAGTTTCTGGAAATGGTGATCAAAGAAGCCTTGAGACTGTATCCGTCAGTACCTTTTGTAGGAAGGCTGACAGATAAAGAAGTTGAATATAAAGGTAAAATAAAAAAAAATGCCTATTCATTTTGAAATCAACATAATAAAAAATCTGTTTTGTCAGCCAACACTCAAACATATTATATTATAGTAGGACTTTTTCAGAGAAACATTTGTTTTAGCTGTCTTTATTATTTAGGATTGTCTATAAACCTTCCAGTACATGAAACTTTTGCCAATTTTGCCTTGTGCTTGATTTTTATTTCTGAATAAATGACGAAAGTAGTTTTCCTTTTTCAGATGGAAAAGTGATTCCAAAAAACGTAGGAATTATAGTATTCATCTTCGGAGTGAACAGGAACCCTGAGGTGTTCCCAGATCCTGAGAAATTTGATCCATTCAGATTTGACAACGAAACGAGAACATATTCGCCTTACGCTTACATCCCTTTCAGCGCTGGACCGAGGAACTGCATAGGTAAAATACAGGGTGATCTTTTTGCGAAAGAAGAAAATGTAAATTAGTTCCTGCACAAAGCGCTTGCTCTAAATTCTGATGCTTGAACAATATGAGAATGTAGCAAAATTTTGCCCAAAAGCTTAGAAATGGTGGGATTCGTAATTATTATTTTTTTATTGGAAATATGCATCATACCTTAGCAGTACTTACTGCGCCTACATATAAAGCTTCATCATTATTTTTCGGATATATTGAACTTCATGTTAAAAAATCTTGTTCCATATCACATTTTGCCCATCAAAAAAGGTATACCTGGTATGTGTGTTGCTATACTAGCAGCTGTTTCGGAGGTTATCTAATGTGATTGTTTTTGGTTTGTACAGACCTTTCAGAGTGTGTATGTTTGTTGTTTTCAGGTCAAAAGTTCGCAATGTTAGAGATGAAATCGCTAGTTTCGAAAATTCTCAGAAATTTCGTTTTGCTGCCTTCAGGAGACCCTCCAATTTTGGCTGCAGAAACGGTATTGAAATCTGCCAATGGAATCCAAATGAAACTGAGAAAAAGAGACTGGATATAAGAAAATCTATGACTGATAAAATTTGTTTCTTGTATCTGCATTCATGCCCAACGAATAAGATTGAAATAAGGACATTTTATTCTCATTTAGTTATTAGTTTTTTGAATTTGCGTTTATTGTTCATATACATCTAACTAGCTATAAGTTTTTTTATTGATATATTTGCGTGATTATTTCAAAGTCCATAAGGAGAAAGTATAGTGACCAATTTGTAGAGTGTCCCTAAAAGGTCTTTACAGAAACTTACCACATATTCCTTAGACCAAAACAATTCGATACCAACAAATTAACCTAAGTAGGAAGTTGATTAGTTTGGGAGCTAGAATTTTCAAATCGTTTTTGCTTCATAACTTTGAAACGGCTCATAAAATTTCACTCAAATTTGGTAAGTAGGCATAGCATTATTGGGAAATAAAACCCATATCATGATAATGATAAATATCATTCCATGGGAGTAGAATGTGATTTTTTCAGTAAATAAACATCCAAAACATCTACGCCAATGGAATGAAAGGGGTTTGAATATCAAATCCGGATTGCGTAACTTGTTGACTACAAAAAATTTACCTACTCTTGATAAAATTCATGGTTTCGAAAACATTTGAGTTGTATAGTAAATACAGAGCATCAGTTAACATAAAAACGATCAACAGATAATTTATTATGTCAACAAAATTGTTCACAATGTTCATCATTTCTACGTATACAAATTGATACAAGCAATTACACCTCAGTACATAATTGCCTAGTCTGGGCGCTAGATGGCCCTGGCTTACTCAGTGCAAGAAACCACAACAAAAAATAGCTCATATAGCATACCATTTTTTTCGTCGTATGAATATCTTTGTATCCGTGGAATTTTTTATAATTTTTGATAAGTGCTGGCTAAATCAATGAAATTCAAATTTTGTCGAAACCATGACACAAATCGAATTTTATCAACAGTACCTACTTTTTTTTATAAAAGAAGTTACGCAATCCAAATTTCGTATTACAACTCCTTTCTTTCCATTGGCGTGGAAGTTTCAGATGATCATTAACTAAAAAAATCAAGTTCATGGAATTATATTTATCAATGTGATGGGTTTCATTGCCTAATGGAACTATGCTAACGTATACCAAATTTGACTGGAATCTCATGAGCCGTTTCGAAGTTATGAAGCAAAAAAAAATGAAAATTGTAACTTTAGAGCCTTCTTACGCCCAAGTATCGAATTGTTCTGGTCTGAGGAATATGTGGTAAGTTTTTGAAAATACCTTTTAGGACACTCTGTATATGATGATGGATTGACGTGGAAATATGAGTTGCTTGCTATTCACAATTACTTATATCGAAATTAATTTTATAATTTCACAGTGTATGTGTGTTGTGTATATAATATGTCTGAACTTGTATCGAGAAAAACTGTGTTCAACTGACGAAAATACATATGATGTTTCTGAAATCCATACCTCAGGCAGTTTTTTTTTTCAAATCAGAACCTTTTCACCTTTTTCAACATTTCATAATATCATGTGTTTTAATTACAAGATAATATTTGTTTAATGTTTTAAATAATTTTGCTGACAAAAATATAATATGTTCGATGATAGTGGAATAATTTGTACATAGAACGGATCGAAATGGTTCAAAATTCATTATGGAACTTGGAATTGATATTTGAAATACATTCATATGTCATTATAAAATTGATTACGACCGGCCTTCGGAATTTAATAATATTTTTTTCTGAATAAATACTTATATATCGAAGACTGGAACCTTTGGCACGATAATACACTACACTGTTTTACCACTAACCAAACCGATTTTTTAACGCCTCGACACGTGTTTCGCTAACTATGCTAGCATCATCAGGAGAAGATTAAAGCTCTCTAGAAGTCGTCGGATATGTGATCGTGTTCGAACACAGAAAATTCCATCATTCAGTATCATCAATCAAGAGGATACAGGTGAGAAAAAAAATTTAAAAAATTATCTGTTCAAACGGTAATGTGACGACCACGATGCAATTGTACACCCATTCAATTATCACCCTGTAGCAATGTTATCTGAGATTACAGAAGTTTCATATTGCCACAACAAACTGTCACGAGATAAGGCTGGATATATTTTGGACCACGACGTTATCAATGTTGACCAGTTTATTTTCAAAAATACTCAGACAGTATTCAAATCAATTACTGAATTATTTCTCCTAAAGACTTGTGATTTCATCAAATGAAGTATAAAAATGTTCGTGGAAAATTGAGATTTGAGATAGATAAAATTTGAAGACAGAGATAATGCGCACTCCAAAACCAAGGTTACCTTTTCTACAATGCAAATCAAGTGGATCCCAGACATCAATAAAAAATCTCTAGTTTTTTTTTTCATCTCTTGGAGCTTTTTTTCGAACTTTCTGATTCTCAATTATGCGACCGATGCATCCTGTGATGGTTTTACTTAGGTCCCCCTGTAGATACATATCGTATCTTGACTAATAGGTGTTTCCTCGACCTTACACATTGTAGACACAGACAAGCTGAGAACAAGACGGTGCTCGTCAAGTGCATAAAAAATGAGTGTTTTGGTGCCTTTTCTTATTGGGGGGTTGGTGATGCTGATTTCTTATTGGTGGTACAAGGAGAGACGCCAGAGGGAGAAGTTGGGGTGGATACCCAGGGTGCCAGGATTGCCGATTCTTGGGAATATCATGGAGTTTAAAAATTCCACAGGTTTGTCTAAATTCCGGGTGATTTTCCTAGATGTCTCACCCCTATAGCTTTTTCTTTATTTAGGGTAGTAAAACGAAATATGGGGGTTGTGAAGTATACTTGATTTTCCGTATACTATCGATTTTTGAAATTTTATTCCGCAACCGATTAGGTTCCCTGGAAATGACATGAACTTTCGATTTCCAATTGGGAAAGCCTGTACTTTTATTCCATATAATCCATATAATGAAATGAAATACAGGATGTCCCGGAAGTACGGCATAGCAAGTAGATAATCTAATATACAGTATGATGCAAATGTATGGAATAAATTCATTATTTCAGAAATTTTAGACATTTTAAAAAATTCCAAAAACACGTGAATTTTAATTTTTGAAGCCTCATCTCATGATATTCATATGAGAAATGTTACGTCACCGGTGTTGGAGTAAAGACGTAATGGACTATTTTTTCAAATACAAATAGGGGTCATGTGACACCTTGATTGAAAGGTCTACCGATCGTCTATTCAACAGTCAAAATGTTGCATAAGAAGATTGAAATTAAAATGGATTATCATGTGATTAATTGAATCTTGCAGAGGTCTGCTACTGAGAATTGAACATCGAAGGGTCGTCTAGTTAAAAAATTACGTCGAAAAAAAAGTTCTAAACTCTAGTTTTTTTTTTTCGAAAGTCGTCTTGTATTTTATTCCATACATTTGCATCGTACTGTATAAAATTCTCCGGTCCCGGTCACGGTGTTAGTGGTTGTTTGTGCGTACTGGGTAGGTATGAAAATCGGTCGTAATCAATTTTTTAAATCGAAAATTCAAGAAGGCGGATCTAATATGGCGGACGAGTATTGTTATCCGATTCTATTCAAAATGGGTATTTGGGGGTTTTCGGAGTCGGAGATTACGATTCTTTCGTCAAATTTTGGAAATTCAAGATGGCGGATCCAATATGGCGGACGAGTTTTGTAATTATGATCAGATTCCATTCAGAATCATTATCTGGGGGTTTTCGAGGTCGGAGATTATGATTTCTTCATGAAAATTAGAAAATTCAAAATGTCGGATCCAACATGGCGAACGAGTTTTGTAATTATGGTCAGATTCCTATCAAAATGGGTAACTGGGGGTTTTCGAGGTCGGAGATTATGATTCCTGCGTCAAAATTAGGAAATTCGAAATGGCGGATCTAATATGGCCGACGACTTTTTGAATCATGATCAGATTCCATTCCAGGCTATGATTCTCTCATCAAAATTATGAAACATGGAGGATCCAATATGACGGACGAATTTTGTAATTAGGATCTGATTATATTCAAAATTTGTATCTGGGGGTTTTCGAGGTCAGAGATTATGATATATCCTTTAAAATTTGGACATTCAAGATGGCGGATCCAATATCGCCAAAGAGCTCTGTAATAAATAGTAGTTAAAAAAACTATAATGAAACACGCTTTTATAGATAGCCAAACTCGAGGCCAAACTGAATAGAAGTAGAAAATTGATAGTATAGTTTAAAAAACGAGATAGATTGGCGAACTTAAAAGAAGTAGAAAATGAAAATAGTAGTTTGAAATACTGATGAAACACGAATTTATAGATAGCCAAAGCAAAAAGAAGTAGGACAAAAAGTGTGTTGATTTAACTAAAAAAATATTTTCTAGAAATAAATGTATGTAGCAAAACAACGTTTGCAACAACGTTTGCCGGGTATCAGCTATTGCAATAAATAGTAATTTGAAAAACTAATGAAACACGTTTTTATAGATAGCTAAACTAAAAGAAGAGGGTATGGAAATAAAGAGTAGTTTAGAAAAAATGAAGAGCTATAGAATGCCGAACTAAAAAGAAGTAGAAAATGAATGAAATAGTTTGAAAAGCTAAAGAATCCTGCATTTATGGGTAGCCAAACTAGAAAGAAGTTGAAATAAACTGATGAAAGTTTTTTGATAGAAATTTATCTGTAACAATTCTTTCTAGCAATAATGATTATGGCAAAACAACGTTTGCCGGGTCAGCTAGTAATATATAAAAAATGAACAATAATCCACAACCCTCCAAATTTCGTTTTACTACCGTCAATAATGAAAGCCTATCCTTGTAAAATCACCCGATACTGTATTGGCAGTATGAGAAATTCAGAAGTATTCTGGACAAAACAAAAAGTATTCATAAGGTAATGGCTGTTGCATTGAAAACCCATGCACCTTCATTTATTTTTTCTGAACTCGATGACTCATTTCATCTGAAAATTACTTCAATCAATTTAAATATTGTAAAAACAATCCTTATCAGCGTGATATTTCATGATAATATAGAGATAAATATTCATGGACAAGCAAAATACATGCACCACCTTTCACTCTGTGAGCTACGCCCAAAATTCTACGAATCCAGATATACCGCAGCAATAAACGATATGTTTCGAACCAACATTGCAATAATATACAGGGTGTCACATTTGGAATATCAAAGACTATTCTACTTTATAAGATATACGTCAACGCTGCATCACTGAAGCAAGCAAAAGTTTCAAATCATAATTTTTGTTCCAGTTTTTGTACCAATACTTCTCGAACACGCAAGTAAGAACAACGGATTATGCTATATCGATCTTTTCAACAGGAAATTGATAGTCGCAACGGACTATGATTTTCTCCAATTCGTTCTGACTAGCATGAACATCTTGGACAAGTCCACCGAATACAATTTTTTACACAAATGGCTTGGCATGGGTTTACTGAACGCACGAGGTGAGTTCAATATTTTTCAGAAAAATTGAGATACATTATCTATACTCTATGGATCTCTTCCATGGTGATGCCAAGAAGGTTTTATTTATTTCATTCTCTTCCAACAACGTATATTCAAAATCACATCACGATGAGGGCGAGCATTGTCATCAACTAAAATGAGTACATGCATCACCGTGATTCCAATATTGAAAAAAAAATTAGGAATGATATAACATAATCTTTAAAGACATGCTAATATTTGAAGAGTTGATTGCTTGACTCATTTTGAGAAGGAAACTTCATATGAACGTATGTCCTGAAAGTCTTAACTTTTGAGATACAGGGTGATGAAATTTTGAAAAATATTCAGTTTTTTTTATAATAACCGAGACAATATTGTATACATTTTCATGAACTTTGGTACACGTCTTTCATGCATCAGGGTGCATTTTCTGATATACAAAAATTTTGATTGTCTCTATACCAGTGAGCAGCGACGGAAAATTTTCAAATTTCGTACACTGGCTATGAAATGCTATTCAATTATGAAAAAAAAACATCCTCATGTTGATACTCGATAGAACGCTTCGTTTTAAAGAAAGACGGAAAAACGAGACTAGACTTCTAATTTTGATATCTGAGTACTCCATTTAGGACATCCATTACTGGATAACCACAGATTGTAACATTCTGGAATTTTCATACCGATTCAGTCACATAGCAGACTGAATTTTTTCATCACGAGAAGATATACAGGGTGGACAAAAAATAATCTATGCATATTTTCAACCATGACACCCTGTATCTCAAAAGTTCGGACGTTCATTGAGGAACACTCTGTATATCAAAGAAACTGAAGTAATTACTTCCCTCCTTTATCGATTTCATGAATAAACTCTCTTTTTTCTACAGATCAGCAGAAATTATAAGGACACTCCAAAAGCACGTCAGCTTTCTTCCTACTAACTATTCATTTTTGTAATGGGTCTGTTGATCTGAAAATTACAAATTTTATGGAAAGATTATTAAACAACATGAAACAAACCCTAACAGAATCGACCTACTATTTTTTTGAATATTTTTTTTTCACAATTAGGTGGAATCTTCAGATGGACCACGTCATTTGTCAAGCAGTTTAGTACCTACCTATTGATTTTCTATATCGATCTGGTGATGTAATTGGTTATACTTATAGAATCTAATTATATTGTTTCAAGGTTTCATAACGGGTTTACAAGTGTATGTAAAGATAATATTTATACCAAACAAACAAAAAAATCGCATCATGTCCTATGCATGTGTGCGTATGTCGTATATGTATTTAATATACAAGATGTCTTAGGCCCAGTGAGACATTTGACTATTTCCCATTGTGAATTTCACTAGCTGACCCCGCAATACCAATTTGCTCTCCGTTTTTGAGATACAGGATGTTGAAGTTAGAAGTATTAATTGTTTTTATTTTTAACCCCCCTATATATAAGCTTTCATGGTGCAAAAATTCAGTATTATTGAAGACTGAGAAGGACCCAAAATATCAAAATGATTCTGATTGGGGTTATAGAGTAATCTCAATGGAAGTCTACATTAAAATTTGGAGTCCAATTGAATTTTTATTGTTTCCTCAAAAATTAAGCTAGACACAAAAATTACACAAGGGATAAAATAGTTGTTATTTCAATAGTTCAATCAAATAAACATATGAAACTCAGAAAAAAACTGTGGCGTACAATGACATTCACCATAAATATCGATAAATCTACCCACTGTGACGCTACTGGAAATATTATTCGGAATCTAATTGCACCAGAAGAAGCTCCATAGTAATATTAACAAAACCACAACGTTTCATTGAAACTGATGGAGAGGCAATTGAGTAATGAATAAAAAAACAATTTTTCAAGGAAATTTTAATTCCCTGTATCTCGAAAACGAAGCAAGCTAGGACACATGTTTATATGAACTTTATTTCCTTGAATATCACAAGGAGGAATCACCCCTTGAATTTTTTCGGTGTTATTTAGATACACCCTGTATAGATGACTTCACCTTTTTCAATTGTTATTCAGAAAGTATAAGATGTAATTCAGAAAGCGTCAATTGTAATTCAGATTAGTCAATTGTAATTCATAAAGTATCACTTTTGATTCAGAAACTAGGGACAATCCGTATGCATTCATCCTCCTTGAGACCAGTTACCAACAATCAAAGTCATGTTGTCATAGAAAGTAACTACGACATATCAAGTAAATATCAAATGAATTGCAATTGAAAAGAATTGCACAGGTAAAGTTATTGTTGTTTTATCACATACGAGTGAGATTATGAATTTCAAAGATAATTGTGGAATTTGCTCTGGCATTTCAAGATATGCCCGTTGGTCGATAAATATACTGATGATTTCTATCCCCTACCCTTATTCAAGTCCATAGTATTTATGAATTACAAGTGATGCTTTCTGAATTACAATTGACGCTTCTGAATTACAAGTTACACTTTCTGATTACATTTCACTAATCTGAATTACATGTTATGCATTCTGAATTACAATTGACTAATCTGAATTACAATTGACGCTTTCTGAATTACAATTGACGCTTTCTGAATTACAATTGACTATTCTGAATTACAAGTTACACTTTCTGATTACATTTCACTAATCTGAATAACATGTTATGCATTCTGAATTACAATTGACTAATCTGAATTACAATTGACGCTTTCTGAATTACAATTAACTATTCTGAATTACAAGTTACACTTTTTGAATTACAATTGATGTGTTTCTCTGTATTTTTTAGAGCAAAGATGGAAGAAAAGCAGAAAAATGTTGACGCCTGCATTCCATTTTTCGATTTTAGAACAATTCGTGGACGTTTTCGACAACAATTCTTCCATCATGTGTGAACTTTTACAAAAAGAGGCAATCAACTCAGAACATGTCCTAAATATTTTCCCTTACGTAGCTATGTGTACACTGGACATCATCTGCGGTAAGAAATTTTCGAGTTTCTCATATTATTCAATATGATATATCAATGAATTAATGTAATCAATCGAGTGATCGAATATAATTCCCGCAATCCCCGATGAGAATCAAAGTTGGTTAAAATTAGGAATTTGTCGAGTTATACTCAAAAACCTCTATTTTCGCAGAATAAAATGCTATATACCTTAGACACCCTGCCTCTGGTGTGCCCACTCTTCAATTGTTTCGTCAGACTAACTCTCGATATGAACAATTGAATGCGAGTTCGGAACGTGGGGTGCTTATATTCGATGATAGATGGCGTGTTCGATGGAAAATTTCTTGAAAATTTTCAAAATGCGTTTCGAATCTTATTATGAAGTTGAACTAGACTTTCAAGGATGTGTTTTCCTTTTTTCGGGAACTGAAGAGTCCCGTTGATGATGATGCACAAATTCAATAATAGCATCTATAGACAGGACGCAAAAGAGATAAGACGCAACAAATAATCCGTGCAATGTCATCTTGATCTTGTCAATATCTTGATATCTTGACATATCTGTCTCGGTGTCATGATTTCGGCATATTCATGATTTTGTTCAATTTTCAAACAGAAATATTATAAATTGAGAGCATCAATAGTTTATTTAGCATGTATTGATATTATATTAGTTGAGTGAGTGCATTGTGCTTTCATCATGGATTGACTGCTGCAATGTGTGAGGATTATTTGAAAATCCGAACATTCGTTTTATTTTATGTATGAACTATCATAATAGGATTTTGAGTTAGGACTTTGTGTCGTTCATGAATTCACCATTGAGAGTCAAAAATATAACGCACCGTTTCCATTTAAACAAAAAATTGTGAACATAAAAATGTGGACTCAAATGAATGTGTCATGATGCCTGTACTCTGTAAATTTGGTTAGAAACTTCGGAAATTTAGCAAGATTCTCCCACGACTCGCTATTTTTACAAAGTAGGCGATATCGAGTGATTCTAGTAGCCTTGTTACTGACATTAGTGACATTTGACGAAATGATCAACATAGAAAATAAATTCCTTGTGTTAGAAAACAGGGATTAAAACGTTTCAGAAACTTGGAAAGGCGAACCCGTTAACGGAAAATCTTCGATGAAATTCACATTTTCGATTTAAATGCATATTCCGTAAGTTATAGCATAAACAATGAATGCACGCGGTGTATGTTTGGTTGCATATAGAACAATCGTGCATTAATAGACACATTGTTCATTAATAGGGGTCATTAATGAACGATTTCATAAACATTAAACTTTTTTGATACGAGGTCGACGGAAAAACATATACTAAGAAAAACTATAGAGGTCCAGTTGATCGTTGAGTAAAATATTAGAATTTTTTAGTTTGTTGATTTCTAATGTTTCTACGTGTAGAATTTCGAAATTATCATCAAAACTATGGTTTTCTTCTAATATAATATGGTTGGCGTATGTTGAATTTGTTTTTATTTTCAAAAAATGCATATTATGTTCATGAATGCGCTGATTAAACGTACGACCTGTCTGACCGATATTATATACCTCAGGACAAGATCCACCGTTCAGTTTGTCGATTCCAGAAGTTTTGTCTTAATTATTTTTGATAAACCTTTCCAACCTGTTATTTGTTCTATATGCCATGTATGAACTTTTTTTTTTAAATATGGCGTGGAATTATAGCCTAAGAATTTTTATTTCTGACAGTGACATTATAAGCTTATATCGTCATAGTTACGATATCTATAATGAGGGTCATAACTCCCTTGGGATATTAAGGTTCAAAAACTACCCTGTTACCTTTTACAGGTGAAAATGATACAAGAAATGCTTATAAACGTTTATATGTGATGAAAACTCGATAAAAGTGCACTTATTATGCGATGGGGTTTGTTTCGAAAATTTTTTTTGGTACTTACGTATTTTCGTCTGAAAAACACGAATTTCATAATGAAAATGTGAACAAACCACTATTTATCGAGATATTTCAAGAAAAAGTTCGAAATTTTGCCTTCTTTTCCCCCTTGTGTTGGATGCATTTACAGGTACTTGCTCTTATTATTTTGTCATTGGACACTTCATATACTCATGATGTACTTCACTGACACATTTTAAGATAGAAAATTCAACAGGAAATATGATTTGTATGGCGAGTTTTTCCTATTTAGTGAGCAAGCATACCAGATGACAGCCATTTAATCCATATGCAAATATGCAATCCAAATACGAGATGTCAAATGTCAATAGATTGCTTTGGAATGACATTACACACGCCATTATTTCAAATGATATTCTTCCTTCTTTTCACTAAACATGGATAAATCACAAGAAAATCATATTTCTAGTTGACTCATATAATAAAAAAAATGTGTCCAACATTGTGTGATATATATAAATTGTCCAATGATGGAAAAAAATGGGCAAATTATTCTAAATGTGATCCAGAAGACAGGCGGAAAAGATGGTGAAATTTGTACCAGAAAATACTGAAAATACTTCACCAGTTCTTGAAAATATGCCAGAAAGACAGTTTCGTTGGCATCTTTTGACATAACATTTCTCTGTGTCAGCCACTTCAGATATAAGTTGTATTCTTTTTGATATAGGGCTTCACTTTTCGATGGAAGTAATGATTGTCTTGCTTTTTCCGCTTTTTTATATTATATCAGAAAAAGATCGTCGATTTGTGGTAAAAAATAAACACGTTTTTAACGGAAAAACATTGATTGATAAAGAAAGTTTGCTTATAAACATGTAACATAGCGACAACCTAGCAACAACCAACAATGCTATACAATCAACGATACCTAATTCAAATATACCAGAAAGGTTATGAATTTAAACACTTATTGCGTTCTAAATATGGACATGTTATGAAAATCGGTCAGAAATAAAATTATCTATGTACCACGGGAATTATAGAGCCTAAATAACCTCTGGCAATTGCTGTCCCTCGGGCCAGAGGCCCTCGGGACGCAAACTTTGCCATCGGTAATTAAGGCTCTCATAATTCCCTTAATACATAAATAACTATTATCCACTTATCCATAAACACCCTGAATATTGATTCAAGAATCCGCCATGAGAGTGCCGATAGGAGCGCAAAAGAACCACCGATCGGACTACGTATTCGCGGTGAAGGACATGTGCAGGATAGTGATCGAGAGGGTATTCTCCCCCATAAAAATGTTCGACACCCTGTATCCCCTCACCAAGGACTTCTACAAGGAGAAGAGGAACCTCGAAGTAATTCACTCGCGCACCTTGTCGGTCATCAGACAAAGAAAAAAGGAACTGGAGATGGAGTCACTCCAAGAAAGAGGAAACTATGGAGGAAAGCCGAAGAAATTGGCCTTCTTGGATCTGCTATTGCAATCCACTATGGACGGAAGGCCTCTCACCGAAGAGGAAATCAGAGAAGAAGTCGATACGTTCATGTTTGAGGTGAATACATACTGAAAATCCAATATCAAAATTCATATTTTTCTAAGATGCTGAGAAAAATTCAGAATTTTCAACTTCTACCATCCTATCACTTTCATAATTCACTAGAATGAAATAGTTTGTCGATGTTGATTTTTTTTAATATACAATAAATATTATGTTCAAATTCAAGACACATAGAAAGTGAATTATGGAGCGATTTCCACGAATTTCCACGAGGGGGGAAAAGTGTATTTTGGAGCTGAGCGGCATTCACTTTTTTTAAAAACCAAGGCACATTCGGAGGCTGAAAAATTCACAATCCATATTAGCGATTTTTTTAGAAAAAAAAAAAAACGCGTACACCACTGGAGTCGGCGTCCTCTGAAATGGATCTGTACCAAGTTTCATGAAGAAATATTCAATATCAACGATTCTACAGCGTGTTTCATTTCAAACGCCCCCCCCTCTATATCTCAGCTATTATAGTCATTCGTACCAAGTTTGGACCAGTATGAATAACTATCAATATGATCAGTTTTTCAAAGACGGTGCCGTGCTTTTATTGAAATATACAGGGTGGGTCACGGTAGATGGCACCTTAGACGTTTACGGAGAACGGGACATAAGATCATTCTGAAAATATGGTTACTCAAGTAATTGCTCTTGATCTATCGATCTAAAATATTTTCAGCTCTGCGGCGTTGCCGCTTCTATCGAAAAGTAGCAACAACTTTGTTATTTTAAATGGAACACCCTGTATTTTATTGCATCTTCAGATTCTCTCTGAAGAGCTGATTTCATCACACTTGGGGTCTAGCGGAAATGATTACAGAGATATAGGGGGTCGACATTTTTCAACTTAAGGAATTTTTTTTGTCGAAACTATTCATTATTGGTCAAAACGGCTTACATGTCCCTATCTCAACTTTTGATTAACTATCTACTGATATTTAATTGGGACATATACCGGGTGATCAAGATTCTGAATTCTGCACCACCCTGTATTTGTTTCAATTAAATGTCAGTAGATAGTTGATCATAAGTTGGGATATAGTCGGGGCTAAATTCCAAAAAAAGCCCTCCGTTACAATCCTAGAAGCATTTCATGTAACAATTGGATAAATGCTGTTAACCCCCTATTTTGACCCCGCTGAATCCGAAAATACCGTTTATCAAGTCGAAATTCCAACCGGAAGTGAGATATTCAAGATGGCGTCCAGAATACCCCTAAAATCTAATTATTTTCTACTTTCGGTCAGCTATACGATTGAGGTGTCGATGTCTATGTTTTCGGGGGTGTAGAATACGATGAGACAATTAAAAAAATGATTTGGAGCTTTGAAAGTTCATCGAATGATCAAATTTTGACGAAATGGGCCAAAATTCCAAAGAACTTGTGAAAACTTGTTGTATAATGTACATGCTTGCATACGTTTTCGAGGGTGCTCGATACGTTTATGAGCCAAAAAAGCATTTGAACATTGTCCAAGCCTTCATTTCTTATATTTTGAAAAAAAAAAGTTCACTATTAGTAGTCTTCCTCATCTTTTCTGCCCCATGCAGCCACAAGCTCCAAATTCGGGACATGACTTGGGAAGAGGTAGCGAAGTCATCAAGATTGGGACTTACCGTCCATCACCAATTTTCCAGCCGCAATTAATCGGGTCTGGTGAATCAAGATACTGATCATGGGCGTTAAACCACACACTAGTAAGTACCTAAAAAGAAAACAGACTAAAATTGAAATCCATCGAAGAATGTGTTGATGGATGGCATCAGTGGTAGATGGCAAAAATCATTCACACTGTCCCAAAAATTGCAACACGGGCTGCGTCTGCCGTTGTAATGTGCGGTCCAACTTGAAATAAAAATGATATTAGTATAAGAACGGCTAACAGTTCTAATTCACCATGTGTCTTAGAAAAGGGACGCAACAAACCTTGTATAAAGCTGGCACCACAAACTGTTCAACCAAACGGAGATCCTCGGGGGCTATATCAGGAGTCTTTCCAAGCTGACTGAGGAGTTTACAGTAGTTTTCTTCAATCTACTGCTTCCACCGTCCTGTTTTTGTGGCAGACCCTCATCAAGATTTAGTATCACATTCGGTGATTGCGTGGAAATCCATCAGGTTTTTGATCTGTTGTGATGTGAGCTTTCTACGTAGTTCATGAATTGGAATATACTTTCTATCTCGGGAAGTACCACACATCACCCAGCATTCCTTGCATTTCATTCTTTCAAAGTGATAGATGAATAATGAAATCACACTAGTGTCTTTAACAGAAACAACAACAGCCTCTCTTTCGGTTTTTACGCATGGGGTATATTCCAATTCACGAACTATGTAAGAAACTTGCACCACAACAGATAAAAAACCTGATGGCTTTCCACGCAATCACTGGATGTGATACTACATTTAAGTTAGCGTCAGTCACAAAAACAGAACGGTGGAAGCAAGTACATAGAAGAAAACTACTGTAAACTCCTCAGTCAGCTTGTAAAAACTCCCGATCTAGCCCCCGATGATCTCCGTTTGGTTGAACAGTTTGTGGTGCAAGCTTTATACAAGGTCTGTTGCGTCCCTTTTCTGAGACACATGGTGAATAAGAACTATTAGCCGTTTCGATACTACTACCATTTTTATTTTGAGTTGGACCGGACATTACAACGGCAGACGCAGCCCATGTTGCAATTTTTTGGACAGTGCGAATGCTTTTCGCCATCTACCACTGATGCCCTCCGTCAACACATTCTCCGGTGCTACTTCCAGGTAAAAGAAAATTGAACAAATCGGAGGATGTTAATGTTATGTTCAGATACTAGTGTGGGTTAAGGCCCATGATCAGTATCCTGATTTATAAGACCCGAATAATTACGGCTGGAAAATTGTTGATGGACGATATGTCCCAATCCTGATGACTTTGCCACCTATTCCCTATTCATTTTCCGAATTTGGAACTCGTGGCTGCAAGGGGCTCTCTCAAAATATAAGAAATGAAGGCTTGGACAATGTTCAAATGCTTTTTTGGCTCATAAACTTATTGAGCACCCTCGAAAGCGTATGCAAGCATATACATTATGCAACACGTTTTCACAAGTTCTTTGGAATTTTGGTCTATTTCGTCAAAATTTGATCATTCGATGAACTTTCAATGCTCCAAATCATTTTTTGAGTGTCTCATCGTATTTTACACCCCCGAAAACATAGACATCGACACCTCAATCGTATAGCTGACCGAAGGTAGAAAATAATTAGATTTTAGGGGTATTTCGGACGCCATCTTGAATATCTCACTTCCGGTTGGAATTTCGACTTGATAAACGGTATTTTCGGATTCAGCGGGGTCGAAATAGGGGGTTAACGTCATTTATCCAATTGTTACATGAAATGCTTCTAGAATTTGACTTTTCGCAAAACGAGCCCCGACTAATAGGGACATGTGAGCCGTTTCGACCAATAATGAATAGTTTCGACAAAAAAAATTCCTAAAGTTGAAAAATGTCGATTTTTCACACCCTATATCTCTGTAATCATTTCCGCTAGACCCCAAGTGTGATACATCGATGAAATCAGCTCTTCAGAAAGAATCTGAAAATGCGATAAAAAACAGGGTGTTCCATTTAAAATAACAAAGTTGTTGCTACTTTTCGATAGAAGCGGCAACGCCGTAGAGCTGAAAATATTTTAGATCGATAGATCAAGAGCAATTACTTGAGTAACCAAATTTTCAGAATGATCTTATGTCCCGTTCTCCGTAAACGTCTAAGGTGCCATCGACCGTGACCCACCCTGTATAAAAAGGGGTCGTTTTTTTTTATCTTGTCATCATATCACCAAGTATAGCCACGAAAATCAACTTGTCGCTGACATTAGTGACATTTGACACGGAAATGGACAATGAATTATTCCTTTTGTTAGAAAACAGGGATTGAAATTGGTTCAGAAACGTTAAAACGTCAACCCGTTAACGTAAAATCTTCGATGGAATCGATATCATCGATTTAAATACATCAGATTCCATATTATGGGTTATCCTTCTAACAGTGAAAAGATGCGGTGTATGTTTGGTTGCCTAGAAATTATTGAGATTATGATGTTTTCCAATATTTTCCAAGATATTTCGAGAAACGTGTATTAAATTGACATACACGATCGTTTTGAATTGTTACAGGGTCATGATACTACGAGTGCTGCCATCAGTTTCACTCTCTATTGTTTATCTGAGGATGAAGAAGTACAAGTGAGTGAATTTTTTTAATTTGTATCCTCATGAATTGGTTCCATTCACATTTTTCCATCTCGCAGGTATCACATTCAATCAGAGCATGATTTTTTCATCAATAACTTGATTGTTCAATGTTCCAGAGCAAAAAAAGATTTATAATTTCGGGTTTTTTAGCGCAAGGCCATTGAAGAGCAGCAAAGAATTTTTGGGAGTGAAAAAGATAGAAGTGTCACTCACAGAGATTTGCTAGAAATGAAGTACTTGGAACTGGTCATCAAAGAAGCCCTAAGGATATACCCATCGGTTCCTTTCATAGGAAGATTGTCTGATAATGATGTAAAATACAAAGGTACCTACAAGTTGATTTACCTATAAGCCAAGCATTAAAAATAGTAGACTGTTTTATTAGGATCAAAAGTGACACTTTTGCGTTTGCGAGGCGAAGTGTTAGCGAAGCCGACAATCCGCCCTTAGTCTATGTCCCAATAGTTATGACTCACCCTGTATATATAAAGAAATAAATTGAGAATTCGCATTCTCCATGTAATGAAAATATTAATTCTTTCTCGGTTTATTCAACAGAAAACAACTACTTTCCTGGCTACTTGCCACGACGAATATTGAATTACATCTATTGAACACGCAAGATAAGAATTTGAAAACAAAATCTTCTGAAGTAGAGAATTTGCATTCTCCTTCATATGAAGATATGCATATAATATCATTCTGAATATTCAACAGAAAACAACTACTAGTAAATGCTTTTTAGTTCCTAGGAGTTAAAGCTCACCTTTGGCTCCTAGGAACTTGGAAGGAAGTGTTGCCTAGTAACATACCTATTTGAGTGTCAATAATAGAAAAGTCAATTTCAAGAGCTAATGTTTGGAACATTATAACACAATATTGCTCTCGTTTTACTGCATTCGATACATCAATGATACTTTGTATGTCATCAATTTAATTTACTCGAATGCATGCAGTATTCGCCTACGGCTCATTCTGCAAACTTCATTCTCGCGAGAAAACACTTTCATTTCGTGGTCGTTGAACAATATGATAATTTGTGTTTCTTTTCTAGATGGAAAAATCATACCAGCCGGAGTTGGAGTAATGATTTTAATTTCAGCTGTAAATCTAGACCCGAAAATATTTCCTGACCCTAAAAAGTTTGATCCCTCGAGATTCGAGCATCCAGACAAAATACCCCCTTACTCCTACCTCCCTTTCAGCGCTGGATCAAGGAACTGCATAGGTATGGTATAGGTCAAAAAAATTAAATTCGATGTCGTAATGATCGAATCTGTGGTGGAAATTGGGAAATTTTGGAAATCTGAGACGTAGTAGCCTACCGGATTGCTCCTATTGGCAATAAAAGCGAAAAACTGACTTTGAGCGCCGATATCTCGAAAACTGTGTTCTATCGAGCTGATCATGCTCTCATCCGATTCAGCGTGTCATTTTCTACCGGAAAAGCAATAATTCGCGTGGATTTCTGCTGTTTTTTGGCACTTTCGACCGTCCGAAGTCGGCTCGGTGACTATATCGTACTTAAGTCTCAGGTGGAACAATGGAGATTTTCATTTGGCTTATTAGAAATCTGAAAAAATTCATATAGACTAATTCGGAGTCGTAATAAACGAATCTGTGGTGCGAATAGGAACATTTTGAATAATGGAGACGTACTAGTAACCCAACCTAAGATATGTTACCAGATCTAGTAACCTAACCTGAGATATGTTACCAGATCTAGTAACCTAACCTGAGATATGTTACCAGATCTAGTAACCCAACCTGAGATATGTTACCAGATCTAGTAACCCAACCTGAGATATGTTACCAGATCTAGTAACGTAACCTGAGATATGTTACCAGATCTAGTAACCTAACCTAAGATATGTTACCAGATCTAGTAACCTAACCTGAGATATGTTACCAGATTTAGTAACCTAACCTGAGATATGTTACCAGATCTAGTAACCTAACCTGAGATATGTTACCAGATCAGAAAAGAAGAAGAAAAAAAAATAAAGAGGTTAGGTTAGGTTACCGGAGTGCTCCTATTGGCAATAAAAGCGAAGAGCTGACTTTGAGCGCCGATATCTCGAATACTATCTGTTCTATCGGGCTGATCATGGCCTCATCCGATTCAGCGTGTCATTTTCTACCGGAAAAGCAATAATTCGCGTGGATTTCTGCTGTTTTTTGGCACTTTCGACCGTCCGAAGACGGCTCGGTGACTATATCGTACTTAAGTCTCAGGTGGAACAATGAAGATTTTCATTTGGCTTATTGAAAATCTGAAAAAATTCATATAGACTAATTCGGAGTCGTAATAAACGAATCTGTGGTGCGAATAGGAACATTTTGGATAATGGAGACGTACTAGCCTACCGGAGTGCTTCTATTGGCAATAAAAGCAGAAAGCTGACTTTGAGCGTCGATATCTCGAAAACTATCTGTTCTATCGGGCTGATCATGATTTCATTCGATTCAGTGTGCCATTTTCTACTAGAAAAGCGATAATTCGCGTGAATTTCTGCCGTTTTCTGGCACTTTCGGCCGTCCGAACATGGCTCGGTGACAATATCGTACTGAAACAAAAATGAACATTTTCATTTGGCCTATTAAAAATCTGAAAAAATTCACATGGACTAATTCGATGTCGTAAAGAACGAATCTGTGGTGGAAATTTGGAAATTTTGGATAATGGAGACTTACTAGCCTACCGGAGTGCTCCTATTGGCAATATAAAAGCGGAAAGCTGACTTTGACCGTCGATATCTCGAAAACTATCTGTTCTATCGAGCTGATCATGGTCTCATTCGATTCAGCGTGTCATTTTTTACTGGAAAAGCGATAATTCGCGTGGATTTCTGCTGTTTTTTGGCACTTCTGACCGTCCGAACATGGCTCGGTGACAATATCGTACTGAAGTCTCAGGTGGAAAAATGAAAATTTTCATTTGGCCTATTAAAAATCTGAAAAAATTCACATGGACTAATTCGATATCGTAAAGAACGAATCTGTGGTGGAAATTTGGAAATTTTGGATAATGGAGACTTACTAGCCTACCGGAGTGCTCCTATTGGCAATATAAAAGCGGAAAGCTGACTTTGAGCGTCGATATCTCGAAAACTATCTGTTCTATCGGGCTGATCATCATCTCATTCGATTCAGCGTGCCATTTTCTAATAGGAAAGCGATAATTCGCGTGAATTTCTGCCGTTTTCTGGCACTTTCGGCCGTCCGAAGATGGCTCGGTGACTGTATCGTGCTGAAGTTCCAGGTGAGAAAATGAAAATTTGTATTTGGCCTATTAAAAATCTGAAAAAATTCACATGGACTAATTCGATATCGTAAAGAACGAATCTGTGGTGGAAATTTGGAAATTTTGGATAATGGAGACTTACTAGCCTACCGGAGTGCTCCTATTGGCAATAAAAGCGGAAAGCTGACTTTGAGCGTCGATATCTCGAAAACTATCTGTTCTATCGAGCTGATCATGGTCTCACTCGATTCAGCGTGTCATTTTCTACTGGAAAAGCGATAATTCGCGTGGATTTCTGCTGTTTTCTGGCACTTTCGGCCGTTCGAAGATGGCTCGGTGACTATATCGTACTTAAGTCTCAGGTGGAAATATGAAAATTTTTATTTGGCCTATTGAAAATCTGAAAAAAGTCACATAGACTAATTCGATGTCGTAATGAACGAATCTGTAGTGGAAATCGGGAAATTTTGGAAAATGGAGACGTAGTAGCCCACCGGAATGCTCCTATTGCCAATAAAAGCGAAGAGTTGACTTTGAGCGCCGATATCTCGAAAACTATCGGTTCTATCTCGGGCTGATCATGGTCTCATTCGATTCAGCGTAGTAAAATGTTTGAATTCATGACTAAGGCGTCTTTAAATAAACAAAATAGGGTACCAAACAATTTTTTTCTTCCAGGTCAAAAATTTGCCATGCTGGAAATGAAGGCTGTCATTTCAAAAGTGCTGAGGAACTTTGTGTTGCTACCTTCTGGGGAGGCGCCAATCCTGTGTGCTGAAACGATTTTGAATTCGAAAAATGGAATGAAAGTCAGGTTGGGAAAAAGGGATTGGATTTAATTTTTCAATACAGGATGTAATATATTCTATTTTGTATGGTTATGTATGTATTTCAAATATAAATTTTTCAACACATGTTCTCAGAGGGTTTTCTTTTGAATTGAATTGAGTTGAGCTTTTTACGCTCTGTTTATTTCATTGAAAATAAAAATATAAGGTTATGCGAGAGTTTTTGAATTGAACACTTCTTTATAGGCTGTTGAGCACACACTGGGTGAACAAAAATCATGGAACTCGCGTCATTGTCATTGTACGCTATCTCTCTACATTTGAACCAATAAAAAAAAGTTAAAATAAGGAGATAAAAAATTATTATGGTCATTTTACAATATTTTTTCCTAATATAGGCTTAGTTCATTGAATTTGGGTACCTACAAATATTGTGCCGAATCATATTATACTCTATACTTATTTGTACGCGCCACAATAGAGAAGGTCAGTACAATATTTTTTCATCTCTTGGAGCGCACTAAAGAAAATCCCTATAACGTTGGAGAAACATCGTGCATACCTAGGGAGGATAGGGAGAGGAGGTATGATGGCATTTTTCTTTGAATTTTTGGAGGTTTTAAGTTCTTGGGAATACTTCTATTGGCGAAGAATTTCAAAGCTTCGCAATTTATTTTGATTCTTTCAATTTGAGTATCTACAAATTTTGTGCCATAAAATCAACTTATCAATGTGAAGTGTCAACTATTATACTGTAGATTATTTGGATTAGGAGTGTAAAAAACGTGAACACGTGGAGAAAAATGTTTATCGCTGCTGCATCAAGCATTAAAGTTTAAATTGGTCATTAGCGCTTCTTTGGAAACCAAAAATAACTCAAATAGCTCGACGATACAATTCATAGTTTTCACTTCTATCGCCAGTTTCCAAAGACTGCCCGGATTTTTTTTTTAAATATTCTGTAGTATTGAACTGAAAAGTAGTTGTTTTATGTAAATACGAATTATTATTATTATCATTATTTTATATGCGCACAGGAAATTGAACGAGTAGCAGAACCAAAAACGATTCATTTTCTCTCAGTCAAGCTGTAAGCAAATCCAAATTATACAAATTGATCTGCTTTCTGTTCGAAAAATCACTCGAATATAATAAAACATTCAAGGTTGGAACGAATAACAAAACCTTATCGTGTGTGATAAAAATCATTGAATTCACTTATCAATCAAAGTACAACAAGAATAGGTATCTTATCTCAATTACTATGAATATCTGTAAACAATAGGATTAAATAATTTGATCGATCTCAGGATCTCACGAAGAGAAAACCTTATGGTGATGCCAATAAACTAACTTGAAATTCAAACTATTATTATGCAATTTGGGAAGTTATATAACTGGTATGATCTTATTTTCGAATGAATATTCGCTTCCAGTGCCGTCACCGTTCTCTTTTTTTTATATCATGGTTATATGAATGGTCAACATTCAGAATTTCAAAACGTAAAATCGATTTTTTCAAGGGTTCTGTGGATATTCGAGGCTCAGCATTTTCTACAATACGTCCTTCTTCATTTAGATCTTAGATTAATGATAAATGCCAATTGCCATCATGCAGCGGTGGACCAACGCGTGTTCGTTATTGTTATTTCACAAACACTTCCTTTAAAAGTATGCAAGAAAAACACACTGACCAGAGTTCACAGAGAAACAAGTGGAAGAAAGACTTGCTATTTTCCTAATCAAATCTTCTGAGAGGTGCAATAGAAGACTGTGAGTTAGTTATTATACAGGGTTGGGCATAGGAATCAAGTGTTTGTGAAATAACAATTACGAACACGCGTTGATCATCTACGATGGCTAGTGACAACAGAGAAAGTGAAATGCTTCGATTCCAGTGCTGCTGCTCGCAATTTTTGCTGCGATGATGACTTTAAGGGGAAACTCATTTCTGCATTGGATAATAGAAAAGGAAAAGTCATGGCGTTAAAACTGGGGGAAAACATGTCCAACTTTCAATCTATGCCAGGAGTTAGGAATGTTTTCGCCAAGTTTTATCGTCATTGTCACGTCAGATAAAAACCTTGAAAACCCCCACAGTAGTCCAAGTTGAGATGTTCATAGGAATATGGTTTCCATGTTTACCTTGGTCAGAAACTGACGACACATGAGATTCATAGAGGTTTGGGCAAGACACCAGGCACCAGTGCAAACACCATATATTAATTACTAGCTATAAACAGTTCATAGGTATGTCACAGTTCAGCTTCAGCTTATGCACATAGCGAAAAACTTTAATAAAATTTGCTCGATGTTCACATGAAAAAATTTAAAAGGGACAGTGACAGCCACATTCAGTTGAATATCAGGAGTACATCTTCTCGAAACCAGATTTTTCACTAGTGATTTTACTACAACTGTTCTCCACACAGCATAATATGATATATTTAGCACCAATTCCAATGAGATGAGAATATGCTGAGAGTCTTAAAAGCGAACAGCCAGCATGTGAACACGCCATCACACATCACACACTGCCCGTCAACAGTAATAGAAAAATAAAGCCACTGTCAGACATTCACCGTCACCCACTGTATAGTCAACAGTTGTTGCTATCTTCCTGTTCTGTTGCCTCAATCTATACAATGATGTATTCAGGACAGAAAAGGTACTGAATATCATGGGTTTTAGAAATAGTACTATCCAAGCATGCTTTCTCTAGAAAAGCCGATCTCACTGTGCCCAATATAAGCTTTCCAGGAGTAACCATACCTTTGAAGACATCCATTTCGATGCTTGGTATTACTATCAGCAATAACCTTTCTTGGGAAAATCACGTGAGATCAATTGCTAAAAGTGCATCCCAAAAACTTGGTTTTCTGTTTCGGGTCAGGACCTATTTCACCTCCATCAGTCAGCTGCTTATGATCTATGAGGCACAGATCCGACCTGTCCTGGAATACTGTTCCCATTTGGAGTGCAGCACCCAAACATGCCCTGAAACTGTCGGATTCTGTCCAAAAAAGGGCAATTCGTCTCGTGGGTGATGCCTCGCTCACAAACTCACTCACTTCTCTGGAACACCGAAGAAAAGTTGGCGATCTGGCATTATTTTATAGATATTTTCATGGACGGTGCTCTCCTGAAATATGCAGAACATCTCTTTCCAAAGACTGTTTCATCCAACGAACAGCGAGGCTCTGGAATACATCGTCAAGGGAGGTGTTCCCCGAGGTATATAACCTCCAGAAATTTAAGAAGAACACCAATTCCTACCTTATTTTCCTTGGTTCTCACGTTGTTCTCTGAACATTACAGGATATCCCTTTTCGTGAGAACCAGAACATGGTACCGAGTGCAGTACAAAAGTACGGAAACGGCAGCCCTGTTCGAGTCGAGGAATGGATTGTATTGAACCGCGCGCCCCGCCTTATTCTAATACTACCCAAACCAAAAACACTTGGTTCCTATGCCAACCCTGTATCTGAGACCCCAGTTCAGTGGCGACGACAAAAATATATAAAAAAACGCAGACACGTTTTTAAGCTTTATACCAAGCCAAATTTTTTGTGAAGAAGGATAAAATTAAAATTATATTAAGCTTTGCAAACGATAGTACTCCATACTGCGTTCTCCTCTAGAATTAAAATTTCTTCCCAGGAAACGAAGAACTCACGAAACAAATGCCAACCTTTTATCTCTATACCCCCTAGGTACGCACGATGTTCTTCGAACAACGAAGAGATTTCCTTTCGTGCGCTCCAAGAGATAAAAAAAGGATACGCCACTGCATCCCATGCTGAATAAAATTACCCACACAACAATCATACTAAAACATAGATTAAAATCCATCGAGCGAGTAGATATTTTATAACGCCAATTCAATAATTTCAGTGTTGATTCGCGATGATAAAATAGTAGGTAACAACGGGAGAAACAGTTTCAATTCAAGATGAGTGTGATCATTTTGACTCTCCTCGTTGTGTTTCTAACTATAGTCGTTCGTCGATGGTATAGGTGCATTTCCATCAAAAGAAAACTCGATTGGGTCAACCATATACCAGGATGGCCACTGCTGGGAAATGCTTTGGAATTTGCCGGTCCTACTTCAGGTATGGAAAGCGTTTTCCTTTGGAATTTCGTAGTTATAGAAGGCCAAAGTTTGAAAACCCAGAAATTACGATTCTTAATATCGTCAAATGTATGTGAAAACAATTGTTTTGCATTACACAAATGATTTTAATCTTTCTGGTCAGTTATTCATTTCATACTACAACGCCCCCTTGTATAGGCTATTATAGAAGATAGCAAAAACTTGAAGAACGGTTGTAGGAGGAGAAATTAAAAAAAAATCACATCAGAAACAGTGGGCGATATTTGATGAAGATTTGAGCAGCCACTGTTATAAGTAGTTATAATCAAAATGGGAATTGATTCGTGTTTATGATTGAAAATGTATATGAATAGTATCTATTTATATTAAATATTGAATGATATTAGGTTATGTTTAATAAGAAATGTCACGCTATTTTGTCAGTACCTATCACCTCTCGAAATTAATGTACTTGAACATCCTGTATATGCATGTCAACAATTTCATTTACTGTCAATATTAGTTTATTCATATTTTAACTCAGATTGCATATTAATACATATGTAAGCGCCCCCGTATCTTTCTTAATAATAATTGTTCAATTAGGATTCTGAAATTTGCAGGAGCGGGAGTCATATTTAGTGATCTACACTGCTCGCTAAGAGCCATGGAACTATCCACATTTCCATTATTATTATTATTATTAATAATTACGTTACCGTATCTAACGTAAAAAGTGAGACAAAATAAAATTTTTTAGAACTGAAAATAATACTACGGGGAAAATAGTTTAGTGATTTGGAAGTAGTCCTGAATTAAAATGCGAAGTGATTTTCAACCTATCTGGCCTCCTAATATAATTTTTCGGAAATGTGGGTGGTTCCATGGCTGTTGACGAGCAGTGTATATCACTGAAGATTACTCCACTTGGTCATAGTTATTTTCGGTAGCTATATCTCTCGAACGATTACGAAAGATACAGTGCTTACTTCAGAAGTGAGATACAGTGTGTATTTCAAAAATGTTTCGAAAACTGAACTTAGATAAACATTGTTGAAATTTTTGAAACCAATGGGCGTGTACACCTCAGTAGAACTTTTAACTCAAACGATGTTTATAATGATCCTTTTATACATAAATAATGATTGACGACATAATTCGATCGAAAAATTAACTGGAATGTTTTATTTTTGGACATAAATAATAGTACCTTCTGAAAACGGACCCTCTTATGACGTAGAAACCTCATATCGCCATAGTTAAAAGAAAATACCAGACGCCCGACGAAAACTGAGGCAACTGATATATTAATTCTTTCAACTGTGATCTTGCGCTAATTCACTCTGTCAGATATCATGAATCATTCATCTTTGTCTGGAATAGTCTTGTTTCAGTATCAGGGTTTTGACGTCACATCATCGCCTCGTTTTCAGAGGTCCGAAAAATCGGGGATTTCAATAATTTTTTATAAAACGTAGGGAGCTCACAGCAAGAAACGGTTTGCGGTGGTGAGCTACTGTGGGAGAGTTCTGTCGAATTATGAAATAAATTTTTTTTGTGATATAATCCCATTAGATTCAATCCCCAGAAAAACTATTTGTATCATGTAAATATGAACCTTCACATTTTACTATTTCTATCCTGCTACATATAAAATAAACATTAAATTAGAGACGGTTCTAAATAAACGTGCTTATATGAAGCCAGTTTAATTTTCTGATTAAGAAAAAATGTTGAGGGGGTTGTTGTAGAGCTACCTATAAATATAATGTATGTCCAAATTATGTTCTGTTTTGCATGACTATTTTAGAAGTATTGGATCGCATCAGCAGCCTGTTCAACAAACACGGCAAGCTGATTTTCGTCGATTTCGCTGGAAAACCCAACATTTTCACGACAGACTACGATTTCAACGAATTTGTTTTGACGACACACAGTATATTGTCTAAATCGACGGATTACAGATTCATCAGAAATTGGCTAGGAACCGGATTACTCACTAGTGATGGTAAGTTGGAAACATACGAGATTTCAAATTTGGTAAAAATCAGAGATTTGGAATCAAAACTACAGGGTGGCGATAAGTAGAAAGTTAGTAAGTAGTTGAAAATTGAAATGAAAAATGGACTGTTAGAAAATCATCATTTTTTTTATTCAATCTGATTCTCCAACATGGACAATTTGAGTTTACACAGTTTCGAACAAAATGTCACCAAAATGTCGCCGGTAACATCTCTAGAAACACTAAGCATGACTTTTTCTGAAGTTTTGCCCCAAAAATTTGGTCGAAAAATTGGCTTCGAATGCTTTTCAACGCGAAATAGATATTTACGTAACCACAGAGACTTACACAAAATGTGTTTCCTAAAGTGTTACCTACAATTTATTTTTTTTTTTTTGATGGAAAATTTCGCTTGAACAAAAACAATGTCGAGTTCTACATAGGTTCTACCGATTATGTACAAAATTTAGTAGGCACACGTACAACAATAGTGGAAAATGGCTAATTCAACTTCAGATTTCCCAATAAGTTTATTACGTAACTGGTATTGAAATGAACATTTCATCACCAGTTACGTAATATTTTACTTCACACAACTTGTTACGTATAAATTAAGGCGTTTCGAACATTACTTGTCCAAATATGAAAAAATCTATTTCGATCAGAAAATCGGCCGTGTAGAGCGATATTGTGTCTTAAACGGAAGGCAAGCTGCACACGGTCCATTCGATCGAACCACTCCATCATAATACTAGATGTAAATTTATGAAAATGTTTCAGGGCCAAAATGGAAGGGAAGACGACGCATAATGACTCCCGCTTTCCATTTCTCGATACTCGAACAATTCGTCGAGGTTTTCGAGAGAAATGGAAACATCCTGATCGACAGGCTGAAGCTAGAAATTGGGAATGATAGTTTCGACGTCTACCCGTACATCACCCTATGCGCCTTGGATATAATATGCGGTGAGTGATCATTTTATTTTTGTTTTTCTGTCTATTTTTCACTGACACTCCTAGCTGGAATGGATTTCTACTACAGAATTTCATTGAAGCATGATAACATAGCTATGGTAATTCCAGGCAAATTGTATAGTGGGTAGAAATTTATATATGTATAGAATATTCATACCATGAATTTCACTATAGAATTATTTCAATTCAAGACCATTATTACCAATAATGACATTTCACTCAAACTAATGTCAATTGTTCAATTTCCCCTTGTAGGCATTTTGTTAAATTTGTTATTATTTGGTTCACTGGTTATAGTAGATTTTTCCGTGGATGCAATAGAAGTAAAAACACCCAAGTTAGACAAAAAGATCAAGTGCAAGAATTTTTATGCATTTTGACAACAGTCAAATGTCATTATTGTCAGTGACGATAACTTCATGGCTACAGGGTGATTGTTAGTACTTTCCGGATGAAACGAAAATGCATCATTTTGATTAAATATACGTACTTTCATTATATGACCTTCGATCCAAGATATTACAAAACCATTTCGAGGTCAGACACCAGACATCCTCATGACGAAGTAACACTCCATTATTCCACTAGTAACACAGAGAAAATTATGTTTCATCTACTGGAGACTACGTTATTCTCCATTCCATCATTCAGTATTTCTTGTATCACTTTGTATAGGCTTTTTCAGAATTCTCTGTGTTCGAACCCGATCACATATCCGACGACTATACATACAACGTAGATTCTTCGGAGAAGAATTCCAACTTTGAATTTCATTCAATTAATCGTCGAAAAAATGCATCATTCTGAATGAATATTCATAACACGATTATCAAAGCTCTGAATTTGAAAATTCCGAAAATTTTTCGAGAGAAAGCATCAATCAAAAGGATACAGGTGAGAAAAGAAATTTAAAAAATTATCTGTTCAAACGGTAAGGTGACGACCACGATGCAATTTTACACCCATTCAATTATCACCCTGTAGCAATGTTATCTGAAATTACAGAAGTTTTATATTGCCACAACAAACTGTCAAGAGATTAGGCTAATCATCGGTGAAAAGCGATTTCAAATTGGTGAGGAAATTCGTGATTTATTCTACTTTGAATTCAGGCTATATTTTGGTGCACGACATTATCAATGTTGATCAGTTTATTTGTGTATTCTATTGAATCGATGAATTCATTTGGACCACGTGTCAGCCCTAATAGCAAATACCGTTCCAGTGCCAGGTATAAGAAAAATAAGTGGAAAATGTTAGGTTAGTGAGCATATCAACAATAATAATAACCGTGATTATTCAAAAGCAAGTTATCCAATCAGATCCCGAGAATAACGAATGAACTACAAGCATGTGAATATTGAAGGCTTTCCTGATCAAAACAAAAATACTCAACTTTATAATAATAATAATAATAATAGTTTATTTGTGGTTCAATAAGATAATATATTAGGTTTTATAGTGAAACAAGAGCAGTGAAAAAATTAAACTAAAAAAAAAGCATAATCTATCATGAAACTACAAAAAAGATAAACTAACATCATAGCTCTAAAGCCTGCTGATCTAAGTAATATAATGTATTAATATATCCAGCATGGGTATGAGTTGCCAAATCTGCAGAAATCGGAAACAAATCTGGTATGCCTTCCAACCCAAATAACCAACCGTAACATTGGTGTTTATTCCTGATGACCTAGAACATCCTCTTCAGTTCCTAGGAGCTGAAGTACAACTTTAGCTCCTAGCTACTAAAAGTGCAGAAAAAGTGACATTTTTCAATTTTTAGAATCGGCTATGGGCGTACCGGTGAACGCTCAACTCAACGAGCACTCGGACTACGTCAGAAACGTCAAACTCATGCTGAAAATCGGCATGATCCGATCCACCTCGATCATCAAAAACAACGACCTTCTCTACCCTCTCACTCTGGACCATTGGCGCGAAAAGAGGGCCGTGAAACAGCTGCACGACGTCACCTATGCCGTCATCGATTCCAGGAGGGAGAGACTGGAGAAATCGGGAGGGAAGGCGGGGGAGGAGGTGGACGAATTCGGGAGGAAGAGGAGGTTGGCTTTCCTGGACGTTTTGCTGAGATCGACGTCGGAGGGTCGGCCGCTGAGCAGAGATGATATCAGGGAGGAAGTGGATACTTTTATGTTCGAGGTGTGTATCATTGTGACTGTCAAAAAAATATTCTAGGGTTACGAGAAAGGCCAGGTTCATTCCTAAATTTAGTAGTTACACCTCTGGATATACTCAATTCCTGTGAATTCAGTGTTCAATTCTGTGATTTTGATTTCACTTCTATTATACTCAAACAACTTGTTTGTTGATGGTGCTGCATTGAGAATTTCTTCATCTGAATTCATCAACGTTCAATATTTTCATTGTTACATTTTCATCCAATTGAAATCTGATCCCCATGCAATCCCTTTGCAATCAGTCATTATTTGACTCTTGATCCTTTGGATTTAGTGTTCACACTTTACCACTAGATCTAGTAGTAATTTTTCTGAAAATAAAGGCTATGAATGCATTGTTTATTCCACCAAATTCATTACTTGCTCACCAGACTTAATCAAAAGTCATTGACATTGAAAACTATATAAGAATTCATAATAATTATTCTTGGTTCGAATTGTTGATTATTCCTGATTTCCACGAGATTGATTTTTTCGATATTGTCGGTCCAGATTCCATATTTATTCATGTGAATTAATCGATTTCCAATATTTATACTGTTTTTTCCTCCAATAGATTCTCTCTGCAATCAGTATTATTTCACTTGAATTATATTTGATCCTTTGCATTTAATGTTTACACTTTTGGACTGAAACTATAGTAGTTGTCAATCTGAATACTCTGAATAAACACCTATTCCTATTGATGGCTCTGCGTATTTATTCATCTGAATTGCTGGTTTATACATTCTCTGGTTTCATCCATTTCATCTAGTGTTCACTCCAGTACTAGAACTGGTAGTTATTCTTTCATAATAAGACCTATTCATGAATTCCAAGGTGTATTCTGCTCCAATCTCTCATTATTTCACTTGGTACATGTTTAATTCCTTGCGTTTAGTGTTTACACTTTAGAACTAAAACTATTACCTAGTGTTTGATTCTTAGCATCAAGTGTCAACATTCTAGTGCAAGAAGTGATAGATCACTCTGAATGACGGCTTAAGAATTCATATTGATTATTCCTCCAGATACAGACTTCTTGAGATTTTAGATTCCGTTATCCTAAATTCGTGTTTATTAATGTGAATTAATTCATATTGCTTCTGGCGGTAATTCAATAAACCCTATAAATTCACGAACATTTCTTGAAAATCGCAATTCATTACCAACAATAATTGAAATGTTATTCCTCCAAGGTCCAAGATATAGTTATCTTTCTCTAGTTTGATTCTTGGCGTTTAGTGTTTACCCATTAGCCCTTTAGCTCTTCCCTTAAAAACAGGACTTTAAATCACCAATCAATTCTTGATATCTACCCAAATCCACGCACATAATGTTCATTGAATACAATGGCAACCTGTATAAATAATAGTTATTTGTTTTACTTGGCCGAAAAATACAAGATTTAATGCCGCGGCTGGCGTTTCATAGCCAAGGCAATACATCTTCTTTCCTGCCATGTGAAACATATAATTTTGTCTCCAAATTCTTTTCAGGTTTTGCTGCCTTTCTATTATTCAGATTCGTACTTTCGAATTAAATTTTTGCAGTTGAGTTCATACATACCACTAATTTATGCTCATATAGGTATACCGGGTATATTCTTTTGAAAACTTTTCACCCCTACAATGTCATTTAACATTTTTGAGGGGCTGGCGGCTGGCATCAGTGAAGGCAAAGGGGATGAAACGAGCGAGGTGATTTTTACGTGAAAACATGTCCTCCTCATAGTTATTGTTTACCTGTCTCGGCGATTTTCCGAGAACCGAGACATGGCGGTTGGAAAATTTTCAAATGAACACTGGGTATGTACAGAGTGATTCACCATAAATGTCTCTCCCTCTAGCTCAGTTATTTTGGAACCGATTGCAAGATTTCAAATATCTCAAATGATTTTCGATAGAGTTTTTTCCGCTATAACAGAAAATACAAGGTACAAACGATCTACAGGGTACTGTTCGATTTTTTCAAATGGAACACGTATTTTTTTATTTTTCAGGGACACGATACGACAGCATCCGCAATGACCTTCGCCATCCACTTACTTTCCTTACATCAGGACGTACAAGTGAGTACTAAAAAAAACAGCTGGAAAAACAATTTTGCAAGTATTTTTTTTTGTAGAGGAAAGTTCTCGAAGAACAGAAGATGATCTTCGGGGACGATATTCACAGATCGGCCAACTATCAGGATCTGCAGAACATGAAGTATCTGGGATGTGTTTTGAAAGAGTCTTTGAGGATTTATCCTTCTGTGCCGATGTATGGCAGACATACCAAAGAAGATGTATATTATAAAGGTATAAAAAACGTCCATGTATGAGAATAACTTTCGTTCAATATCTGAGATGAAATATTTTTTTGCAAAACTTGTATTAGAAGACTTGTGTGGGGTTAGCAAGAGCAGGACCTACAGTTCATTGTGGAATCCGAACCACTTGGGACTTCATATCGGAACGATTTTGGAATTTTGTCCCAATTTATATTTTTATACTAGCAGACTAAATGATTGAAACAGTTATTCTTTGGAAAATTAATGATTTCAATTGAATTTTACAGGGAAACTGATTCCACAAGGTACAGACATAATCATCTACGACTATGGCGTGTTACACGATCCCAAGAATTTTCCGGAACCGGAAAAATTTATGCCAAGCAGATTCGAAGAGAATGATGGGACACGACCCTACAATTACATCCCTTTCAGCGCTGGGCCACGAAATTGTATAGGTAATTATTAGAAAACATATGAAGAAAAATAGTTATTCATACACCAAGGTAGTAAATAATATCATTATAACCCAGGGACCAAGATTCCCGTGGTAATAATATTATCTACTACAAAGGTATATTTTTTCACCACTAGCAATATATAAACTATACGTAACACTAATTTCGGCTTCCATAAGAAGTGAGACAAACTGTATAATGTTCATTTTGAGTAAATTCTGATCTTCATATCTCTTCATCTGAAGTTTAAGCTTCAAAATGAGCCTGAAATTTCAAAAATCGGTCGACGAGGAAAAACAGTTATGACTGCAAAATCATAAATTTATATTTTTGAGATCACTCTGTAAATAAAAGAGATAAGGAGACAATTCGAGAACTGTCCCAAGACAATGCGATCATCTACAAAAAAAAGCGTTTCTTCATTGGGGATACTCTTGAAATTTCCGAAATTTTGCACAGTTTCAGGTAACACCCTGTAGCGATTTTATTTGAAGAATCTTATGTTTTGAAGAATTACAAGATTATAGCTGAAGGACTGGGCTAGCAAACAGTGTGATCTTAATTCAAACCGTTCAAAACAGAAAAAAGTTATTCATATTTCAACAGAGGCAAAATTTTGAGGTGCGACGAAATTAGTGTTGCTCAGTTTATTTCGATCATTATAGTTCTGTGAAACTTAAATATGGACCTATTGTCACTTTAAAAGCACTTCTTTTCAATTCTTATTAAAATCTAGTAGTCATGACCATGACATCATGATGACAACTCGTTAATGATAAATACCTACTAGATTCGAGCGCCATTCCTGCGAATCTCGCATCAGAACAGTGGATTCGGGTTAATTATAACAGATGTGAATATGTCTTTATTGACTAGTAGTTCATAAAATAGCTAGTGGTGGAAAAATAGTAGTTCACCTAACCAGTGCGAAAAGTAACTTTAAGCACGTGTTTTGTACACCATTTTTTCTACTGCGTGCGGAAAAAACCCAAAATTCAACATAATGAAACATTTATTATTGTTATTAAATATTCGAATGCCAGTATGCTCCCTAAAAGTTTGACAAAAAGTTACTCTTTCAGCACTAAAATTAGTGCGGAAACGTTAACTTTTCTGCTCGCTATTAGAAAGAATATTTATCATCCCGAAATTTGACAGCATGTGTTTTTGTAGGTCAAAAATTTGCCATGCTGGAGATGAAATGCACTCTCTCGAAGATTTTGAGGAATTTCGAGATTTTACGCCCTGTACCTGAACATACCCCTATCCTAGTCTCAGAAGCCGTATTGAAATCCGGTAATGGGATTCGAATTAGGGTGGCCAAAAGAAAATGGTGAAAAACAAACAAAAAACATAACTTATTATATTAGAATGTATATATTTATGTATTTTTTATTATGTTATGCTTTGTTGGAATTCTAAGGTTACTAAAAAATGATTGTAGAAATGTATTTCGTTTTATTTTTTTCATTATAAACACGCTAAGTATGACACACACACAAAATTATATTAGTTGAAGAATCAATTGGATAGCCTTGTACTTGACAATATAATATATTATTTTAGATACCGTGTCATCAATTTGATCACTACTTATACATAATAATCAACAATTAATTCTATATGACATATGATCTCCAGATAATGATAGAAAACATGAAATATCATGGAATAATTACTCAATGATTAATGTGTCGATATAGAGTGATATGAAATACACTCATCTGAAGTGGAAATGGGCCTTAGAATGATAAAAATAAGAGGATAATTTTGAAAATTGGAGACTGAATTTCGTTATTGGATTAGAGAGTGATCATAGAATGTGTATAAATATGGATAAACGTTCTAAGATCAAAGTTTATATACAAGGTGTTTCATTACTAATTCGAAATATTCCAACCATAGAATCCCGACCTCAAAATATGAAGATTTAACCTAAATCACCTAGATAAAATATGTCTCCTGTCTGAGTTACAGGGTGTTTTATTCAAAAATTTTGGAATGTTTTTTGCCCAGTTCGTCAAAACTATTTGACGTATCACTTTCATATTTGGAGGGAAGTGTAGGAATTATGTGAAATGAACTTCTTTTGCTATTATCAGAGGCGTACGACAGGGGCAAGCGACTGGTTGATCCTTCCCAAATTCTACGCCACTGGCGGAATTGCAATTTTATCAGAATTTTTAGATTCTTCAATACCTTGTCGATATTTTGGATCAATGGACTGCATTCATCAATCAAATGAAACTTCAATCCGTATTAAGATAAAAACATAACAGACGGGAGCTGTTACAGGGCGTTTTAAATTTTTCAATATATTACATAATTAAACACCCTGTAACAGCTCCTGTTTGTTATGTAATTAAGTTTTTATTGTTAATATGGATTGAAGTTTCATTTTATTGATGAATACAATCCATTGATCCAAAATATTGATGGAGAAAGAGTACAATATCTACGTCAAAATTGTTGGAGAATCGAAAATTTGTGATAGAAGAGCAATTCCGCCAGTGGCGTAGAATTTGGGAGGGATCAACCAGTTAATTGCCCCTGTCGTACGCCTCTGGTGATAGCTAGAAAAGTTCATTTCACATAATTCAGTTGGGTGTATAATACCTACACATCCCTCCAAATATGAAAGTGATACGTCAAATAGTTTTGAAGAACTGGGCAAAAAACATTTCAAAATTTTTAAATAAAACACCCTGTAACTCAGACAGGAGACATATTTTATCTAGGTGATTTGGGTTGAATCTTCATATTTTGAGTTCGGGATTCTATGGTTGAAATATTTCCAATTAGTAATGAAGATATAGATACCGGTCACCCAGTATTTCTTGATATAAGATTGTTTTACGAAATTATTTATTCTTCACAAAATCAGTCTTATGAACATCATGAATTGCAACATTGTTTATGTAACCAGGTCTATAGTAACCTATTCGAATCAAAAAGTTAAGATATGAATATTCATGTCAAACGTAATCAGAGGCGTAGTTATTTTTTTTTCAGAAGTGATTTTCCGAAACATTGCATTGAAAATATTGAACAGAGTGTAATGGTTTCACTGTACACCCTGTGTAAATGTAGTTTTGATGATTTTCTCTCCTTATTGCAGGTGTTCTCTGAGTCATTAAAAATTTACATCTACTCCCGCGGAAACCGCAAAATACTCGACAAATTCCTACGGAAAATACAGGTTGTCAAAAAAAATCAACTGAGTGGTGAACTCAAAGTACACTCAGAAAAAGGGTCTTAGTACTGAATACTCTGTATGGCTGAAGGACTGAAAATGTTTCAGGTAGAACGAGCATAAGCCATTACAGATTCAAATGCAATAAAAAAAATCCGACGCACAGTTTTCATTTTTTTTCACCTAAGTTGGTGAATTTCATCCTTTTGTCTATGCCACTGGCATTACAAACTTGAAAATCGTTCGGTATAAATGTCTTTTATCGACATAAATTCCATAAAAAATTCACTAGTCCATGACTGGTGCAACTCATCGACCAATATCGTCCTTCACATTCACTCAATGGCGAACAATCACAAAACGAATATGGCAATTTTTTATCAGTCTTCTACCAACACTTTCGACTAAATGATGCTCACTGAGTATAATAATTTCTAGAAATTAGGACACGGTCTGTGTATGAAATAGCGATATTACAACAATATTATTTTTGTCAAGTGAAAAACCAGCCTTGATCTCAACACACTTGAAACCAGTGACAAGTGATTTAATAGATGAAACAACTTTCTCAAGGTGAGTTATAACTATTTCCAGATAATCGATCACAAGTTCAAGTTTGTTCATTAGTCACATAATGGTTTGAGGTAATTAAGGATAATTTTGCTTTTGATAATAGTATATTACATAACAAGAGTCGTAAACGCATCTTACGAACGAGTGGAGAAAGTGAAGTTACGCTATATTTGCATTTTACTTCTACTGTGTTATATTTAATGAGCGATTTTTCTTCCAATTGATTGGCCCATTACAAGCTGAAGGCCTTCAATGCATTTTACGCAGGTGATGCATACAACATTTTATGCACTAGCGGGCCGTAAAGTGCACGTTACCGCCCGGTTTTGCGGGCGTTAAGTTGCACTTTACCGCCCGCGGGCTCATTATGGCCCACGGGCCGTATAGTGCACTTTACCGCCCTCTGTTCTCAGTTTCCTTAGGTATATCCACATATCAATTCATGAAGAACCTATGATCATTTTCCTAGATTCTGATACATCCAGCGGTATATCATGAACATCTTCTTATTTATCCGATTCCATAGTCTCGCTATTATTATTATCACTAATTTTTACTTTCCAGTCAAAGAATGACAATTCAGCTTGTGCATTAATGGATGTATTGATAAGGACAACAACCATCAGCTTGCTTGACAACGTCAAAATTAGGTAGGTATATATACTGGGTATGCATATTGTAAAATTCTGAAGAATGAATATCTTCTACAGATCAAAGAGTTTTACCACTACGATAATTGCAATATTCGTACGATGATTTTTATAACTAGATCATTCTTGAACATTACTCTTCTCTTGTTTACTGAATTTATACGTAACAAATCAAATTCGGGGGAATATTAGTTTATCGAAATCTATAGTCATTACTTTTGAGTTAGAAAATAAACCACTAGTGCATAAAATTTTGTATGTATCACGTGCGTGAAATGCGTTTATGGCCTTCAGCGTGTAATGGCCCTCGGCTAGCGCCATCGGGCCATTATTCACGCCACAGGCCGTAAACGCCTACTTTACGCCCTTGATACATAAATAACTATTATGCACTAGTGATTCATTTCTTTAGTCAAAAGTAATGACTAGATTTCAATTAGCAACATTTTATACAGGGTCGCTGATATGTATGGAAACAGGTGAATAACTCGGCAATCTGTTGTTAGATTTTTTTGAATTTATGTACAGTGTGATTTCAAAACGTGGCGGATTTGAAAATGTTATAGCCTCTGTTGCCACTTTTTCAGTTAGTCCGGATTTTTAGTAACTTCCTTATTTTGAATGAAACACCCTGTACTTTATTGGATTTCCAGATTCTCCTTGAAGAGCTGATTCCATCGATCTATCACACTTGGGGTCGAGCGAGAATGATTACATAGATATAGGGTGTTTAAAATCTAGGTTTTTCAAATTCAAGATTTTTTTGTGTAGAAACTATCCATTATCGATCAAAACCGCTTCAATGTTCCTATCTTCACTTTTGATTTACCATCTACTGACTATTTAATTGGAACAGATACAGAGGGTGATCAGAATTCTGAATCTTGAACCACCCTGTATTTGTTTCAATTAAATGTCAGTAGATAGTAAATCAGAAGTAAAGATGGGAACATTGGAGCGCTTTTGATCGATAATGAATAGTTTCGACACAAAAAAATACTAAAGTTGAAAAATCTAGATTTTAAACACCCTATACCTATGTATTCATTCCTGCTGGACCCCAAGTGTGATAGATCGATGGAATTAGCTCTTCAGGGAGAATCTGAAAATCCAATAAATTACAGGGTGTTCTATTCAAATCTCTCCACTCATAAAATAGCTGAGACATCGAATTTTGCTCACCCTGTACACTCCACTGATTAAATTTTCGCCAAAGTTTCTTAGAATTTTTCTGAATTCAGACTGATTATACATTTTATAATATCCGTGCTGAGAAGTTCCAAGTTGAAATTTCGAAAATTTCTATACGTAATAGTTTTCTCTACATGCTTAACTATATATTGATGTTAGTTTCACACTTCAAAATAGGGTATCGTTTTCCCAAAAGTTATGATTCGATAGAAAATTCCCTTTTTTCACTATCTACTTGTTTGACTGAAAATATGAGAGGACAAATTAAAAGAATAATTTGAGAAATATTATAGTCCCTATTCAAGAGAAAGTATTATTTTTATTACGCAGTAGACTTTTTAAATCGATTTTTCTTGAAAATGGTGAATGCGCTATCAAAACTAAACAGGCATATCATATATAGGTAAAAATTATGATATTTTCATATTTCCCGGTGAAACTGCCGATAAACATCATCTCGGTCCCTCTTTCAAATGGCTATAACTTTCCTGGGATCATTTTTAAATTAACTTTTTTTTACTATTTTTGGTCCTAGAATCTGTCGTTGAAATCTTTCTATGGAATTTTGGGACACCCTGTAGAAAGACAGTTGGAGGAATAGTACCAATGCGGCCTTGAACTTGACAAGATATCAATGGTACTTTGCAGCGTTGATATGTTTTTATCTCTACACGGAAAAAAAGGATTTGTTGTTTCAACAAATTATTTATGCTGAAATTATTTTTGTTGGACTGAACAGTTTTTCGTTGAATCAACCAGATACATGATTATTTCATGGAAGCAGCTTGTTCAAATCAAGAATGTAGTCTAATTGAATCAACAGTATAATATCAATTCCATCAACAAAGATATGGTTTCCTCAAGAACAAATTATGTCGATCCAAAATAATGTCGATGTTGATTCAATTATAAACATTTTGTTTATTTGATGAAATAATGATCATCTTGATGAGAATATATCTTTGAAACAACATACAAGTTTTCTTATTCCGATGTAGCAATGAACTCGTTTCGAACGGATCATCTGCTTGAATAGAGCAACGAAATATGTAATATCAATGAAATATTTTGTTCATTCTACATCAAGTTACATTTTCGCCTCTAGATGGCGATCATTTCGCCTCGTCTATTCATGCCTCGAATTCATCATATACGTGAGGCCGGATTCTTCGTCTTTGAAATATCAGCTGGATAAATCGAACTTATAGGACGATTAGCAATCCGAAATAGTTTTGCATCAGCTGAAGGGAAGTAAAGACTAGTAGAAGTCACCTAGTTTCCTAGTTTAGCTTATTCTTTTGATGTAGAATTTCAGAAAACTCCCGAATTGATACTGAATTTGATTCAACAGAACAATATGTCGAATGAAAATAATCTCTCTTGAATCAACGAAATATTTCATTGAATTAACAAAATATTTCATTGAATTAACCAAATATTTCATTGAATTAACCAAATAATTCATTGAATCAACCAAATAATTCATTGAATCAACCAAATACTTCTTTGAATCAACCACATATTTCTTTGAATCAACCAAATATTTCTTTGAATCAACCAAATATTTCATTGAATCAACTAAATATTTGATTGAATCAATATCTTGTTATTTCGAATCAAACAAAATGATTGTTTGAACAAATTCAATATCTCTTCATGAACAATTCATGGATGTGCTTGATTGAATATGATCCAGAGTTCATTCAAGACATATTTACTCAATTCAAACTTCAAATTCGCTCTGAAACAAGATATAGATTTACTCATTTCAAGATTATATTTTGTCGTGCATATATGACACTCTTATTTGCGCCATTCAATTAAATTTTACATGATTCAACAATTCCTTTTTTTCCGTGTATCCTCATCGAACCCACCTCTCATTATATGGCAATCAACACACGTGGATACAATTAAACACAACTAGTTTTCATGAATGCATGATATCCCACTTATTTGTGACATTAATTACTATTGCTTATGAAAGACTGCAAATGATATCACGAACATTTTCCTACTTGCATCAGATGGTGTGATTTCAGGTGAATGCATGGTCAGTCCCAAAAAATATGTTTCTCGTTACGGTCCTGGCTGTTTTTCTTGCGGGCATTTTCGCGATACTGTTGGCCCACAAATACAAAAGGACCCACTCCAAATATATGAGGAATATTCCAGGAAAAGAACCCAATATTTTCTTAGGCAATCTGTGGGATTTTGCTGGATCGACAGACAGTAAGTTCATACTCCAAAATTTTTCATTATCGTATTATTTATTATAAACAACATTCACGGTGTGTCTATTTAGTGCATTCAAGGGGTTACATAAAGGCAGGGCAGCTCAGAATGCACTTTTTTAAATTATACACCTTGTATATTTCTCTCTTTATGAATTCCTTCTTCTCATTTGCCAAAGACATTGAATATCCAATGCGGCGTTTTCAAATTATGTCTTGCAATTCGATAATTTCCCAACATACAGGGTGTTTCAAAAAAACCTAACCCCCTTGCTAGAGGAGGTAGAACATTGCAAAATAAGTTGGGTTTGCTCAGTGAAAAAATGTCGTAACGGCATCCGTTTTCATCTCGGTTTTCATGATACAAGGTGTTGAAAAAATTATTTTTTTTCACATTCTTCACGATTATTCCGAAACTACTGGCAACATTGTGATGAAATTTTGTATGGATGTTTATTGGAATCTGACACATCGCATGAATCTGTTTTTATATCTGACTCTCATGGAGGGCGCCAGTTACACGGTTCGTACCGAGTAGTTTTGAACATAACTTTTTTGAGGTTAGATTTTTCAATCCAAATATGATATGAACTTGAACATCATTCAATTTTACACCAAAAAGTTACTCTTGGTGAAACTCGATATTATGTTCCGTTTTCGGAATATTTCGATTTGAAAATAATGGAGTAGTAATGATGCTGGTATAAAATGAATTTTATTGAGTTCAATTACCCATTTATTCAGGTTCAAAAACAATAAAATTATTCTTGTGCTGAAGTTATTGATGGAACAAAGGATCATAAGAAGAAAATTAAGAGATATTTGACTAGAAACATGAAATATTGAATCAGTTAGAGTAAGTGTTCAAAATGTTCTACGTTCCGAGGAATACACGATTCTATATTCTTTTTTTAAGAATGTATTATTTTTCTGAACAGTTGAGGATCAGCTGTTAGGTCATTTGAGTGATGTTCAATTATGTCTCACAACTCTTGACGTGAATTTACCTATGTAGCATAGACTTTCTGCCCAAGATACAACAAAACTGTGTAATCCATACTCTTAGTCAAATCTGTTTCGATGTTATTCTTGTGATTCATTGTTAAATCAATGAGTATGTATTGTTGTTTTCGGTTTACAATAAATAGGTGATAATTTTTCCTAATACTCACTCTAATACATAGCTTTATACCAGCAACAGTTACCACTTCATCATTTTCAAATTGAAATATTCCGAAAACGGAACACAGTATCGAGTTTTACCAAGACTACCTTTTTGGTGTGAAATTGAATGATGTTCAAGTTCACATCAAATTTAGATTGAAAAATCTAACTTCAAAAAAGTTATGTTCAAAACTACTCGGTACGAACCGTGTAACTAGCAACCTCTATGAGAGTCAGATATAAAAACAAAGCATGCGATGTGTCAGATTCCAAGAAAAATCCATACAAAATGTCATCACAATGTTGCCAGTAGTTTCAACATAATCGTAAAAAATGTGTTAAAAAATATTGTTTCAACACCTTGTATCTTGAAAACGGATGGCGTTACGACATTTTTTTACTGAGCAAACCCAACTTATTTTGCAATGTTCTACCTACCCTAGCAAGGGGGTTAGGTTTTTTTGAAACACCCTGTATAAATCAAAAGGTTTAATATTATTAGTATGGCCAAATTATTGTTCTCGTATTCCATCACGTGAGAAGCGAAAAGAAACATCAGGTAGAATCAATTATCCGTAGTTTTTCATTAATCAACTTCAAACCCTCGAAAAATATTGTCAACGAACAGAAAATTAGGCATAATAAACAATTAAAATCAAATTTGTGTACCTATCTCGGTACATCCAGACACGATTTTGAATTCTACCTGTCAACAGACGCAACATCGTAATAAACCAAAAATTGGAAGTAGTAGTCATTTCCGGTTTATTCCAATGAGAACAAAAAATCTCATAAAATGTCTCACAATGATAGAAACAAACATTATGAGTATATTTATTTACAAATTATAACTGAACATAATATTTTTCTAACCAAGTAATAAAAGAGATTAAATAATATTCGTACAATACAAACGTATACAAGTGATAACTTATTTAGTGACCTCCCATCAATTTATATGACTGAACTATTAAAAAAAATCCAAATGAAAGTCAATATAAGTAGGTATGTTGTTCAGTGTAGAGGCTAGTTTGGTGGTAATAATTTTTTTGGTTCTGCTGCTCAAATATGTGGAATACAAGTGGTGGAGGGGTAAATATTTACAAAATATAAGGGGGTCCAAACCAAACCTGATTTTTGGCAACACTTTGGAATTCCTAGGGTCAACAGATCGTGAGTAATTACTCAAATAAGTTGAATTAATGAATATTTTTATTGTCAAATAAGTTAATTACTTATTCAGGTATGCATTGAAACATCTGAAATAATGCCTTTGATAACTTTTTCTCTCGCTTTTTCTGTGATTGTAGCAAATATTTGTGTTTCATTATTTTTTTCTGTCACGGGAAAAAAGTTTGGCATTTCATTTCTGTTGGCAGGTTATAAAATGTCAATTTTCATAAATAACTTTTTCCCGTGGGAAAAAAGTGAGTACTTTTTTCCCGGATATATATCACTTATATAAATACACTGTTAATTTCTTTTGTTGTGCTATAGTTGAAAAATGAGTAAATAATACCGTCTCCGAGAAAGAACTGCAAGTCCTTTTATCTTCCATTCGACTTCGCGGTTACGTATATTACTGAACAACCACTGAATTCGCAATTTTTTGAAATCAAATCACAGAATTAGACTGACAGAAGTGACATCAGATATTTGATTATTTCAGAAGAATGCCTACAACGCAGGTGTCCCTACTGTTAAAAACTTAAAATTTCACGTCGATAATTTTCAGATTTCAAAATAATGTAATCTCTTCTCAATATTGATTAGTCCTTCCTTCTGTCACAGAAAAAAATAGTGCATTATACACAGGAAAAATATGAGATTTTAGCTCACGGTTTTTTGTCTCCAACAACACAACCTGGAGCATAGGAACATATTTTTTCGAATTCAGCTATTCGTACAGAAACTATCTGTCTTTTATTTTCGCCATGTACCTATCACATGATCTACCCATTTGGAATAATAAAACTAAAATTGTTCCTCTTATGCGATGATCCACAGGGCTATCAGTCTATTTTTTCATAATTATTTCACTTAGTAGGCGGTGTACCTACACAAAATGTTTGTTTGTTTGACAGATAATCGATTGCATCAATAATTTTTCTTCTTCATTTGATTAAAATTGCATATTATCAATAGTAACCCAACCTAAGATATGTTACCAGATCTAGTAACCCAACCTAAGATATATTACCAGATCTAGTAACCTAACCTAAGATATGTTACCAGATCTAGTAACCTAACCTAAGATATGTTACCAGATCTAGTAACCTAACCTATGATGTTACTAGATCTAGTAACCTAACCTAAGATATGTTACCAGATCTAGTAACCTAACCTGAGATATGTTACTAGATCTAGTAACCTAACCTAAGATATGTTACCAGATCTAGTAACCTAACCTAAGATATGTTACCAGATCTAGTAACCCAACCTAAGATATGTTACCAGTAACCCAACCTAAGATATGTTACCAGATCTAGTAACCCAACCTAAGATATGTTACCAGATCTAGTAACCTAACCTAAGATATGTTACTAGATCTAGTAACCTAACCTAAGATATGTTACTAGATCTAGTAACCTAACCTAAGATATGTTACCAGATCTAGTAAACCAACCTAAATGTATTCAAGAAACGAAAAAGTCGATATGTTGTTAATATGCAATTTCAATCAACACACAAATGAAGAAGAAAAATTATTGATGCAATCGATTAACTGTCAAACACATAAAACATTTTGTGTAGGTAGACCGCCTACTAAGTGAAATAATTATGAAAAAATAGACTGATAGCCCTGTGGATCCTCGTATAAAGGCTGTATGACACCTGTTGAATTTGATGACAAATATGATAACAAAAATGATGACAAGAATATTTTATATGTGCCATACAGTATAAATATTTATACTATCAAAATATTTAGAACAAGTCCTATATTTTTACAAGAATGTTTGCAAATCTGCGCAAAATCAACACCAACACCGGTTTTTTGTCTCCCTCCGCTACGCGTCGGGAGACAACACAACCTGGAGCTAAAATCTACTACTTTTTTCCCTTGTTTAATAAATAACTATTATTGTTTCAGAATTTTTGAAGACTATCTGTTCCTACCTTGATACCTATGGACCAATAACAACACTCTTCGATGGTCCATTCAGTGTGGTGATATTAACTGCTGAAGAAAAATTTATAGAGTACATCCTCAGTTCCACCAAAATGATAGATAAGTCAGATCAATATAATTACTTTCATGGATGGCTTGGTACTGGACTTCTAACAAGCACAGGTAAATTCATTCGTCATCATTTTTCACATTCCTTTGTTTTTCTAGCTATTATTCTGAAATTTGGAACATTGAATATGCTCAATAGAGGGCACTTTCTCGCATTTTAGGAATCTGTTTTCGTCTTCCGGTTTTCCTAGAAATGACATCAACTTTCGATTTTTAAATGGAACACTATACCGGGTGACACGGGCGACATGTAGCAGCCTGTAATTTTTTTATTTGAGGAGATAAAATTTTGAAATTCACATTGGGTATATAATAAATGGTAGCGCACATTACGAACTTAACGAAAAAATTTTTCAGCCACCTGTTTGACCGGAAGTGACCCAAACTTTTTTTTTAAATGTCACCCTGTACATTTCTTCAGTCTATCTTTTTCGCCTTAAAATTCTCTATCCAACCATGTATCACAAAGTGGCATTTATTTCTTAATTCGCTGTTGAATTGCTTTTTATTCAAAAAGAATAAGTTGGTAGGCTTTGAAATTTAAAGATCATTAGTATATAAACTGATATTATTCAAAATGTTTTGATATTCTGATCAATGTCTGCAGGTTGTTATTAGCTTGTTTGAGTCAAGATGAAAACCTTCGAAAATAACTCATGATATTGAGGAATCTAAGATAGGAACATATTTTTTCGAATCCAGCTACTCGTACAGAAACTGTCTGTCTTTTATTTTCGCCATGTACCTATCACATGATCTTCCCATTTTGAATAATAAAACTAAAATTGTTCCTCTTATACGAGGATCCACAGGGCTATCAGTCTATTTTTTCATAATTATTTCACTTAATAGGCGGTCTACCTACACAAAATGTTTTATGTGTTTGACGGTTAATCGATTGCACTAATAATTTTTCTTCTTCATTTGTGTGTTGATTGAAATTGCATATTAACAACATATTTTTCGTTTCCTGAATACATTCAGGTTGGGTTACTAGATCTGGTAACATATTTTAGGTTAGGTTACTAGATCTAGTAACATATCATAGGTTAGGTTACTAGATCTAGTAACATATCTTAGGTTGGGTTGCTAGATCTGGTAACATATCTTAGGTTGGGTTACTAGATCTAGTAACATATCTTAGGTTGGGTTACTAGATCTGGTAACATATCTTAGGTTGAGTTACTAGATCTGGTAACATATCTTAGGTTGGGTTACTAGATCTGGTAACATATCTTAGGTTGGGTTACTAGATCTGGTAACATATCTTAGGTTGGGTTACTAGATCTGGTAACATATCTTAGGTTGGGTTACTAGATCTAGTAACATATCTTACGTTAGGTTACTAGATCTGGTAACATATCTTAGGTTGGGTTACTAGATCTGGTAACATATTTTAGGTTGGGTTACTAGATCTGGTAACATATCTTAGGTTAGGTTACTAGATCTAGTAACATATCTTAAGTTAGGTTACTAGATCTGGTAACATATCTTAGGTTAGGTTACTAGATCTAGTAACATATCTTAGGTTAGGTTACTAGATCTGGTAACATATCCTAGGTTAGGTTACTAGATCTGGTAACATATCTTAGGTTGGGTTACTAGATCTGGTAACATATCTTAGGTTGGGTTACTAGATCTGGTAACATATCTTAGGTTGGGTTACTACAGTGCAGACTCGATAATCCGAACTAATAAAAACCAAGGCGATTCGGATTACCAAAAAATTCGGATTACCGAAGCAGTTCTTTTTTAAGTTTTTTATTACGGAATACAAAAAATCATAAATACGACAAAGTTACACTAAAATATGCATAAAAGTAAGAATATAATACTAGTTTCTGAAGTGATTTGTAATTTTTGTTTGCTTTACACATCTTTGGTTATTTATAAAGGCCATTTCTTTTAATTTTTGAAGTACAAGAATATCATTTAACGGAATATTATTTTCTTCCTTGCGTAATGTGAATCCCAGATACTAACAAAAGAACAATTAGGGGAATCCCTGAACATTTTACTCACAATTTCTATAGGAAATAAATAGGCCTAAAGGTATAGGTTCGGATTATCGAGTACTATGAAATTCGGATTATAGAGTACCTACTCAATGTATTAAAAATGCTTGTTCGGACTACTGAAGAATTCGGATTATTGAACGTTCGGATTATCGAGTCTGCACTGTATTGATAATATGCAATTTGAATCAACACACAAATGAAGAAGAAAAATTATTGATGCAATCGATTATCTGTCAAACACAAAACATTTTGTGTAGGTACACCGCCTACTAAGTGAAATGATTATGAAAAAATAGACTGATAGCCCTGTGGATCATCGCATAAGAGGAACAATTTTAGTTTTATTATTCCAAATGGGAAGATCATGTGATAGGTACATGGCGAAAATAAAAGACAGATAGTTTCTGTACGAATAGCTGAATTCGAAAAAATATGTTCCTATCTTAGATTCCTCAATATCATGAGTTATTTTCGAAGGTTTTCATCTTGACTCAAACAATCTATTGACAACCTGCAGACATTGATCAGAATATCAAAACATTTTGAATAATATCGGTTTACTAATGATATTTAAATTTCAAAGCCTACCAAGTGTCGATATATCATCGAATTCATGACACAGCCAACTTAATCTTTTTGAATAAAAAGCAATTCAACAGCGAATTAAGAAATGAATGCCACTTTGTGATACATGGTTGGATAGAGAATTTCAAGACGAGAAAGATGGACTGAAGAAATGTACAGGGTGACATTCAAAACAAAAAAGTTGGGGTCACTTCCGGTCAAACAGGTGGTTGAAAAAAATTGTCGTCAAGTCCGTAAAGTGCGCTACCATTTATTATATACCCCCTGTGAATTTCAAAATTTTATCTCATCAAATAAAAAAACTACAGGCTGCTACATGTCTCCTGTGTCACCCGGTATATAAGGTAATTATAAAATATCATGAATATCTTGGTTGAAATTTGGTAATTTTATTTGTCAAATTTTCTAAAATTTCAGCATATCAAGTGTCAATTATATTGTTGGCGGAAATAATGAAAAACTCATTTCTCCAATGCAGGAGTTCATGATATTATGCAACAGTGGCTTTGATTTTTTTTCTCGAAAACGAAGCTGGATATGAAGAAAATACAAGAGACGAAAAAGTTGTATTTTGAGTTGCTCAATCTAAAATAAATGAAAATTTACCAAAAAAAAACAGTGGCTCATTTTTTTTTCACAATATGGTGGTGCCCACTGAGGCGCCACTAGCCCCAATAATTTCAATCTAAATAGGGCTAAGTAAGCGCCTTATTAGTTCAAATAAAAGTACCAAATTTTAACCAAATCGGTTCTAGGATATTCATGACACTTTATAATTACCGTTTTTTTTTCTTTAATTTCATCGCCCTGTATCTCAGAAACGAAGCAACTCCGGACATATACAAATAGGAACTTTTCTTCCTAAAATGACCTAAGGAATCCCCACCTGCAGTTAGGAACCCTAGTTAGGAAACACCCTGTATTTCATTCCATAATGGTTAGGGATTATTATAACGAATTCAAAGATACTGGGTGTGATTGGGTTATTTCAAATGATTAGGAAGATATTCGCGATGGAATCTTCATATGCTCAATATAGGTTTGACACCGCATTATCAAAACTCCTTTCTCTGTCACACTCATTAGGCTTAAAGAAAACTTCGAACGCGAATATTTTCATATTTCAAATAACCCAACCAAACCCGGTATCCTTGAATTCCTTATAATAATCCCTAACCGATTAAACATGTGTGTTCCATTTGAAAATCTAAAGTTCATGCCATTTCCAAGAAAACCGGAAGATGAAAAAAATCCTTAAATGTGAGAAAGTGCCCTCTAGTGAGCATATTCACTATTCCAAATTTCAGAAATATAGCTAGAAAAACACAGAGAAAATGGAGGTATACCATGAGTGTGTGTCACCTGGTATGTGATAATAAATTGATAAAAAATATAAAGCAATAGTTTTAAAACATATAGACACTGAGATGTTCACAGTCCTTTGAAGAATATGGTCCTACCTACACATTATTGTATAAAAATGTCACATATCAATTTTTCTTCCTAGAGGAATTGCCATCAATGAATTTTCAAAATGTCTGCTCATTGGGACCTTAGTCTGGTCATTTTGAAACCTAGGAAGGTACTAGCAAAAACCTACTATTCTTTGGTACTAGATAAATTTTCAATAAATGAAAAAATCCAGAAGATAATGAATAATGCAATTTTATACTCACTAGATTTTCTTCATGATTTTCCATCACCCAGGTCACCATAATCTGCTCTACTTTCATTTATCAGTGATGAAGCCAGGGACACTTTATCAACAATCACCATTATGACCATTTTATTGGATCAAGGATAATATTGAATCTTTGAAAATGATTTCACTATGCAACAGGTACAAACATTGAAATGCAATGAACATACTTGAAAGAAAACAAGAGCAATCAATTTTAAGATGCTTCCAAGCCGGCTTGTTCTAAAAAATTTGGCTTGGCTTGGATTCATGAGATATTTGATTTGGTTCAATTTTATAGCACATGAAGGATCAGGAGACGCCCCGATTCACCCAAAGTCATGGGTGGGACGCTAGTTTATAATAATATTTAGATTTTTGGGTAGAACCACCATGGGTTCATGGGTAGAACTATCTGAAAGGCGAAATCTCGTGTGAAATGTAACCAGCCCGAACTAGCTACAGTACTATAGACTAATAAAAAATAGGTATAGGTAACCGTTATATCTATTTTTAATTATAACGTGAAAATTTGGAAAACTCACCTGTTTTTTCATGCAGATTTTGTAGATGTAGAACAAGCGTCCATTTATCTTATCACCAGAACACAGACCATTAAAACCAAACATTCAACAATTTTTTCAGAATGAAGCAAAAAAAAGAACGATTTACAGGCCACAGCCACCCTCTAAACATAACTTGATGCAAATCAAATCGACGAAACGAAAACGCCGGTTGCCTAATTGGTTGCCTATGTGCCTATAAGCTGTGTGCTGTGTGACGTATCCACCTTGACGTGGTGTAACGTTGACTCGCTGGCAAAGGTTATACTGGCTATGTTCACTGAATACTGTATACCACCAGCGTAATAAACGAATCAGTCATTTCTGATCTTATATGCAAATGATCAATGTTCAATTTTTGTCTACATAACTCACAGAACTCATATATTATAATATGATGACCAAAACTATATAATGCTCAATAATCAAAAGAATATTTTTAAACAAGATTAGTGTCAGTTGTCCAGCAAAATAAGAAGAAGATTCTCATGACGAACTGTCATCAATGTGTCGATGTCAAAATGTCATACTGTCATAAGTGGCCGCCAGATTCGATCATATAGGTCGCGTGCAAGAACTGTCAGATGACCGACCCTGGAGGCAAAACATATTTGTTTACAAGTGATCGAAATAGTTTTCCACAATTATTTTGGCATATGAATCGTATTTTTCCGCTATTCATCAATTCGCTAATGCCATCACATTGTGCTGTTGTAAAATGCACAAAAACTGCAGCAAAAGATGAAGAAATCCGGATGGTACATTATGATTCAAAAGTAAGTACCTACTATAGTCACTCTCATAGTTTTCATTTTTGAAATTTGGTTATTTCTCTGATTTCTCATCGGAATTCCTTCTGCAATAGGATCAGCTAATAGAAATATACCTGAAATTTCTAGAATAATGCAAGAAGATTGGATTCATGCAATCAATCGGTAGGACTGGTCTGACATGCTGACGATCGTGTGTGTTGTAGACATTTTCAATCTACATTAGCTTGAATTGCAGAAGTGGCAGAAGGCAGAAGGAATTTTAATAAGGAATGACAACATTTCATAATGATAACTATGTGAGATTACTATTTACCTGAAAAATCATATTCCCTAGTCTCTTGCTGCATTTTTTGTGCATTGTACAACATCACAATGCGAAGGCATGCTTGAATTAATGAATAACGCAAGAAACACGATTCGTATGCCAAAATATTGTGAAAAAATATTTCAACCTTTTGATTCCTCTGTAACCAAATAAAAAAGTGAGGTTGTGTTTCAATAATTCACAGAAGAGTGAGGTTGTGTTTCAATAATTCACAGAAGAATGAGGTTGTGTTTCGATATTTTGCCTCCAGGGTCGGTCTTCGTGCACGCGACCTATTTGATTTGATTTTTCTATTATAAATGCAGTGTACCTCCTAGCAGCACAACTGCAGTGAAATCAAGGTGAAAACATTCTCAATGTTTCTGTTTCATCTTCATTTCCAGTTATTACTTAAATTAAATACGCGAATGTTTAAGGTGCAAAATGGAGGAAACGAAGGAAAATGCTGACACCCTCATTTCATTTTTCTATACTGGAAAACTTCGTCGATATTTTTGACCGCCAGGGCGATATTTTTGTCAAGGAGCTTGAACGAGAAGCTGGTAAACCTTCTTTCGATATATATCCATATGTTACAAGATGCACACTTGACATCATCTGTGGTAAGTTTAGTATAGTTAACAATTGAATGTTCAGAGGCCTGAAGACTTGTTTCACTATTCAGAGGCTGCTATGGGCATCTCGATAAACTCCCAAAAACAAGGTTCACCTGAATATACCAGTGCAGTAAAAACAGTATGTTCCATAATCATAGACAGGTCCTTTTCTCCATTATCTCCTAGTGTGTACCCTTTTACTCTCAATCACTACAATGAAAAAAAAGCTCTCAAAGTCTTGCATACACACACAGATGAAGTTATTGATAGAAGAATACGAGAGACACAGTCTCAGACTTCCCAAAATGCTCCAAATGATGAAAGTGATTTGGGAGTAAAGAAGAGGTTAGCTTTTTTGGATTTGTTGTTGAAAAGCACTCTGGATGGCCAACCTTTGTCTAGGACTGATATAAGAGAAGAAGTTGATACTTTTATGTTTGAGGTTAGTAGAGCTAAGCACAAGTTTTAATCCCCTGAATGCAAAGCTGAATAATCTTATGCTGGCATCTGCTAGAAAAGTGATATTTACATACCATTTTTTTTTTTAGGGACATGATACTACCTCTTCTGCTATTGCTTTTGCAATTTATTCATTAGCAATGAATCCTGAAGTACAGGTTAGTCTATCACAAATCAAAAGTAGCCACCTCAGTGCTTGAGATATGCTGGAAATATATTTTTTAGCGTAAAGCTTTAGAAGAACAAAAGGAACTTTTTGGTGACTTGAAAAATGCTAAGCCAGTGATTGCAGACCTACAAAACATGAAGTACATGGATTTGGTTATCAAAGAGTGTTTGAGATTATATCCCTCAGTACCTTGGTTTGCTAGGAAGGTTCCTGAAGATTTTGAATGGGGTGACTATTATCTTTATTAAAAACTGCATGAGCTATTTCACTGCTTTGAAATTTTGATTCTAATGGAGGGATGGTGAAAGAAAATATATTCTTTTAAACATTTGAGAATCCCTCACCCCAAATTATTTTAATATCTCCCAAATGATAAAAAAGAAATTGGAGGTATAAAAAACACTAAATGATTATAATTATAAATGAAAATAATGAACAAAAATTGCTACCTTATCAACTAGATATTGTCAATCTAATTGGTATCTAATTGGCTACTCATATTTCCCATTGGTCAAGTTTCAAGGTTAGTTATATGAACCAATCAAATAGTTATAAATATTTATGACCTGGCACTAATTATTGACAACTCTTCCAAAGTCCTTCTAGATTATCATTATCTATGAGTTTATAAAAAATAACATTGTTTGCTCATAAGGTGACATCAGCATTTCCAAAATTATCTGTATAATATTATGCCTCCCCAATGTGACTTGTTTTGAATGAAGAATGCCCAAATCTAGTTTCAGATATTTCAGTTTGTCTGATCCATTTTTCTCCATAATAAAATGAGAAAGAGACATCAAAAAAGACTTTCCATTAGAATGACCACTGTCTGCTAAATATGGAGAAAAAAATCTAGTGAGCTGTTAGTATCTGGTCTGCTCAAACAAGGGAAATCACCTACAGGTTTCTGTGGCCCATACAGTAGTGCCGCCATACGGTCAACTCCAGGAAACGCTTATTTCAATTGTTTTCCTGTCAAATCTACATAACCTTGAAAATCGTAAACAAGTTGAGCAGCTCCCTCAGCGGTGCTCTCGGCACTCTCGGCCTGCCGCGTAGTTTGTTGTTCAGTGAGTTTGAGTTCAGTATCACAACATATAGTCACGGGTCACGGTAACTCAGTCACTCGAAGATTTAAATATCATTCCTTCTCTAAATGGTTGCTACAGACACTACAATAGTCCCCAATTTCATAACGTCCAACACCTGAATTAAATGGAAGGTGGAATGAGTAGTATCGATTATTAGTTTTTGATCAGGGCTCTGATTATCTCACTTGTAATGATCTGTCACACTCAATATCGAATGTATTCACTTATGTCGCAAAAACATATTACTTGGAAATCTATGAATCTATGAATTTCAAAACAATTTGTGGACGGTATCACACTTTCTGGTAGACAAAATTGAAAGACAGAGCCTGTAACAAATTATCTATCAGAATAAACTATACTGAGAGCACAATACAAAACTATATCTATGAATGAAAGGAATATTAGAACAATGAGAATTGGAAAAGAAAGATTGTTTTTGAGAAAAATACAATAAAAGTCACGATGGCACGACAGCTCTTGACACTGACAACTTACATAACCACAAATTTCCAAAAATTTCTAGAAAAAAAGTGAAGATCATTTCGTCCGATATAGTAACATCCTCTGGTGGTCATACACTCAACTGATGAGAATGACAAAAACCTTGAAAACAGCAATTTTTCGAAATACTTCAAATTGACACAATACTACTTGACAATTGACAGCTGTTGCAACATTGAGCAAATATAGAAGTTGTTCACATAAAAAGTTTTCAAAATCAATTTATGCTGGTTTTATGATTCAACCACACTAAACTAACAACAACAAATAATTATCATGAGGGTGTTTATCCACAACTGATTGACAATTAGAGCAGAATGTATTTTGATTGACATTCAGAATTGTTCTTGGTCTCCACAATCCATGAATCCATATACATACCCCAATAAAATATCAAAAAGAAGCAGAAATTGAAAAAATCCTGAACCTGAAACACTACCAAACCTTACTTCAAACAATAACAAACTGAATTTTCATATTGTGCATTTTATGTCTTCATGATGTTCAGTGGAAATTTATCTAACTTTTGTAATTATTCTTGAGTGGAATGACACATGTAAATGTAAAACCCACAACCTACATAGATGTTTCCTTCTATTCAACTTTTTAAGTTCTTAGTTGTTAGTTCAGTTCTTAGTTTAGTTGAATGTATAAACTCTATGTGGAGTATCATTGTAATATATCAATGATTTTTTCTCTTGTTCAAAGTATTTTCAGATCAACTGTCATTGACAGTAAATTTTTTATAAATGCTGTGCCATTTTGGGACAGGTCACACATTTATTGAAATGATATTCAGTTTTATTCATTTAAACAAGGAGTGTTAAATATTCGTAATTCACCTACCCGGTGATTGAATACTTCATATGACGGATGAAATATGGGTCAGAATAGTGAAAATACTAATGAATCGTGGTAAAATCAGAAAAGAAGCTCAATCAGATATGACTTTTTATAGAATTAATTGATGACAAACTTGACAATACACATCAAACTAGAAACATACAGAGTAAATAAAAATTCTACTAAATACAGTGTGAATATGGTTCCAAGATCTGTAACAAGGAGAGAAAATCTCAAAAAATCCAGAAAACTTAAATGCTATTCAAAGAACCGGTTTTCCTAACTAAGAGTTCTAGGATGAAAAGCAACAGCGATACATTACTGTTTCGGCCCACCTTGTTCCATCAGTCACTTTTGGTCTGATGACAATTGTGACAACCCAACCATTCGGGTATAACACCGACATCGAAGATTTTAATGATACATTATGACTAGATGGCGATCACATGACTAGAATGAAAATCCTAATATTGGAAACTTTCCTATTGAACATAACAATTCGCGAGATTCACCGGATGGCGACATCTAAGATACATAATACGAACTTCAAACTGGGGGAAAACAAACTGTTGTCTATGGATGAAGTGCATAGACTACATTGCATTCAGCTTGCTGTAGCTGTAGTTAAACTTGTCAATGACATAAAGTGTTGGCACTGTTGGTTGTGATGATGGTTGAGTTGGTTAATTTTTTTACATTAATACAAATTTTTATTAGTTTAGTGAACAGTGAACGGGTGAAGAATTGGAGATAGTTCAAACAATTCAAACTAATAATTACGAGCAAATCAATTGACATATAAAAGAACAGCTACAACATGTTTACAATACTGATGCTTCTCCTTCCACTACTGATCAGCTTTTTCCGTCTGAAATTCGAAAACTTATCACTCTTATCAGTACACAGTACACTAGCTGATGGCACTAATGGAATTGAGTGAGGATTGAGTTTGTTTTCCCCCAGTTTTGACGTGGCTTTGACATGGAACAATGAAAACCGAGCGCCACCTAGTAACATTGATTCCCGCGAATAGTTATCAGTGTTTATGTTTTATTTTAGAAGGAACTCTTTATCCCAAGGGTCTGAATATCGTCATTGTGGCTTTTGCTAGTCAAAGAAGCGCAAAATACTTTCCGGACCCACTGAAATTCATTCCGGAACGTTTCGAAAATATCGACGGTAAAAATCCGTACACTTATATTCCCTTCAGTGCTGGACCCAGAAATTGCATCGGTACGAAACCATACGCACGAATTCAATACTACCTGAATTGGTCCATCTAGAGACAGGCCGCAACAAATTATAACTGAAAAGAAATGCCTCTGAATGTTTTAAAATTTGAAATCTTCCAGCTTTTTTTCAATAGACTACTATTTCTTAACTGGAACAATAAATCTTATGCTCATAACTCTTGTATAGCCACTGGACTCAAAACTCATTATCATCAGGGGTGATGAGGGAAAATGAGAAAAAACCCTCTCTAGTGATGGTCGCCTTGGAGGCGCGCTCGCTGACCATATTCAGTGGCCACGCCCAGAATCGGCCTCAGGCATATCAAGCGGGTACGCTACCCACTGGCCATTGTGTTTCTTGCGAACTTATGAACAAAACATTTGGAGTAGTATTGAATTCGTGCGAATCATACAGGGTGTTCATGTGTGACTAGATGTGACTCGTGTACGTTTGCAGGTCAGAAGTTTGCCATCTTGGAAATGAAGAGTACTGTTTCTAAGGTGTTGAGGAACTTTGAGCTTTCACCTGCGACTCCTACACACGAGTTGAAGTTGGCCCCTGAGATCATATTGGTGTCCAAAAATGGTGTCCGTTTGTCTCTCAAAAAGAGGAAATGATTTGATGGAGAACCGTAGTTGATGTTATTTCTATTGACTTTGAAGATTATTCATTAGACTTGAGAGTTATTAGAAAATGATCGTAGAATAGGTTGTTGAATTATTTTTTTATGTTTGTTCATTGTGAATTATTCTAGTTAATTGCTTTTTAATATATATATTTTTCATTTCGAATTGCGTTTTCCTTCTATGTGCTGTGGTAAAAGTAAGTAAGATGTAATGGATTCACGATAGACTGGGGTAATTTACAGATTAGCAGCCGAAGGGCTTAGATGAAAATTCAGTCATTGTTCTCAATGCGACAAACTTGTTCAAACCTAAATTGAAAATTTAGAACTTTTCTCTCGAAATGTCTCGAAGTGGCACTCTTTGACAACTTTTTTTTGTCAAAAAATCTAAATAGAGAAATATGTGTCAGTTACCATTTTTGATCAAATTCCCATTCATCTTTGGATATTTTGAACACGAATCTGCTCCCATTTTGGAAATGTTGAAAAAATAAGTGAAAATTTGATATTTTCCTGGTATTATCAAGTAACACCACTATTTTTGACGGTAGAGAAAAAAAAGCCTCGCAGGGGATTTTTTTCCTTCTTGAATCGAAAGCTACGTTTTCATTATCTGAAAAAATATACAGGAAGCAGAAAGAAATGTATGTCCGCACCATCAGAATGACCTTTCTTATAGCTTCATAAAAATACCCTACTCAATATAATTATTATTACTATTATTGTTTATTTATGTATACATCATATATATCATTTGAAAGGAAAAAAAAGTCGTATCTTCATAACCATACCCCGAATATAAAATTTGAGTGCGCCACTGGATTGTGCATGAAATTGTCTATGGGATAAGATTTTAATTTGACATTTTTGCTGAAAAACTTCAAAAATAAGAGTGGGCCCAAATATTATAAATTTTCAAAACCGCCCTGTATCTCATGAACGAAAACAGTTGCGCAAAATCTGATTAGGCCATCTTGAGTTTCACAAAAAAGTGGCACAGGACCGCGAAAACCGAAACGTTATACAGGGTGTTTCTTAAGTACGTGTAGAAAATTCTGGAGCATATTGCTGACGTTAAAATAAGAAGAAAAGTTCGTATAAATATATGTACAAAAAATCTTCGTTTCTGAGATACAGAGTGTCAAAGTTGAATTCTTATTTTTGTTTTTTGTTAATAGATTTCGAATATATTTTTCATACAAAAGTGTTCTAGAATTCTATTTTTCGACTTTTCAAAAGACATGTAGGTGGCGCCACCCCCACGAAAGAGACAAACTATCATAAAATTTGATCATTGAAAAATACCCCTAGATACCAAATTTTATTTGAATATCACAATTATATTGAAATTTATCAACAAAAACACAAAAATAAAAATTCAAATTTAGCACTCTGTATCTCAGAAACGAATAACTTTCGGACATATATTTATATGAACTTTTCTTCTCATTTTGACGTCAGCAACATGCTCCTGAATTTTCTACACGTACTTCAGAAACACCCTGTATATCCAAAGATAACTGAGGTATCACGCAAAACTGGACACACTGTACATTAAATGTAAATAATGATTCATCGATTGAAAGAAGTGTGGAGGGATTTCATCCCCCAGTGGACTTCCTCATTGGCCAAAAAAAATCTATTGTAAAATTTGTTATGTCGTGTACCCTGACCCATTTTTGTATTCCAACTAGAATCGCGAAACCTCGTCGAACCCTGTCCGAAGCCTAAAAATAATCCCGCCAAATAACCCCCCTTCTCCCCTCTACCCCTTTCCCCCTCCCCCCAACCGCACGGCCAGCCGCGATCGGATCCTCGCGAAGAAACAAACGCGCATCGAGCCCATCAGCATCGTATTACCCACGACAGAAAAACAGCAGAATCGCGCGCGACAGTGGTTGCCATAGTGAATTGGGGAAATAAAAGAAGAGATTGTCATGGCCTCTCTGATGACGGTGCGCCTCAGCAGGGGCGACTCCCCCAATTTGGGGTTCAGGCTGCAGGGGGGCAAGGATTTCGGCACGCCGCTGGTCATACAGAAGGTAAGAAAATTCAACGGGAAAATTCGGGAAAATTTGACTGCGGTTCGGAGTAGCTATAGGTACGCACTTTTCTGTGAATCAAAAGGACGAAAATTTGGCAGAATTTTGTTTAGTAATTTTTGTGCATTGATGGGCGTTTTCGTTATTGAACATAAAATAAACCATTGATAATTTTGAATTGAACGTTTTTTTTCATCATTATCTTCATATGATATGTATGAGTACCTATATATTATCTATAAATATCGATATGAAACAAAATATTGATGAGTCTTATGCCGTTCATATGTTTTATAAAAAGGTACGATGTTTTGTCATTTTGCTCAACTTTACAATCATTTACAATTTGATACAAATTGGGTTTTTTCACACAACTTCAAGAAGGAACCCCTAAATGTCTCATTTATTCCAGAAGATACAAATTTAAAATGTTCACTCTTCCCTATACACTATACAGGGTGTTTCGTAATACGTGGGACGCACTTCGAGAGGTGATAAAAAAGTTTCCTTAAACAAAAAATGTAGGCTTCGTTTGGGAGATACATGGTGTTGGGGTTGAAAATATTTATAGATTTTTTTTATATCCACCCGGTGGCAAAATTCAGTCTGTTATGTGACTGGCATAGTGCCAAGAATTACAGAATGATATATAGCATGGTTATTGAGTAAACGTCTTCAATGGACTATCCGACATCCTCGGACATCCACATCAAATTTTGGAGTTGAATTTTGTTATTCGGTTTTTGTCGAAAACAGTATATTTTTACGAATTTCAACACTTTTTTCTACAAAATTGCATCGCAACCCATCATGTTTTTTCTGAAAAATCACACATCGATACCCCTTAACGGTGCCACTGGGAGTCAGATTGATGGATTGAATAAATAATGCTTCCCATTCAATCACTCTCAGGTACTGAATTATACACCAGAATATCGATAATTTTTATTTAGCGTTTATCTAGAAATTCAATGATTTTTATTTTTATTTTCAACTTTAACACCCTGTATCTCGCAAACGATGCTGTCTACGACTTTTGTTCTTGAGACGCCCTATAACCTCTCGAAGTGCGTCCCATATATCACGAAACACCCTGTACAGGGTGTCTGTAAAAGGTCCTTACAAAAACATACCATATATTCCCTACACCAAAATAAGCCGATTTAAGTAAAATTACCTTAGTACAAAGTTGCATCGTTTGGGCTCCAGAGGGCCTTGAAGTTACAATTTTTAAATCGTTTTTCCTATATAAATTTAAAACGGCATATGTGATTTTGCTGAAATTTGGTATATTGATAGAGTTTTATGTGGCGAAAAAAATGGTGTTGAAATTTTGTGCGATAATAATACATAGGCGTAGAACTTGATTTTTTTAATAATTGCATCTTTAAAAATTCTACGCCAATGGAAGAAAAAGAGTTTGAGTATGAAATTTAGATTGCGCAACTCATTTACTTCAAAAAAGGTACTCTTGATAAGACTCGATTGCTCTCATGGTTTTGACGAAATTTACATTTTAGTAATTTTAGAACATAAACAATAATTATTAAAATACAAACTTTATCAAAACCATGAGAGTAAATCGAGTGTTATCAAGGGTACTTTTTTGTAGTAAATGAGTACCCATTCCAAATTTCATACTCACACCCCTTTTCTGCCATTGGCGTAGATTTTTTACAATTATTTAAAAAATCAAGTTCTAGCAATTGACTCAAAAATCGTTCATTTTTGATCCAAAATTAGCTGTTGAAGTTGATATTCATCTTACCGACACAATAAAATGTATGTATATTGCTAGAAACACTTTCAGTGTCTAGAAGCTAAAGTTGAAGTTTATATCCTATGAGCTAAATAGGAGTCATCTGTCAGCTGATATAGGATAGCTGCTGACACTGGCTTGTTCACAATTGATGGTGGTTACTGCTCTTATATTTTATCAATAATATATATTATTTTGATTGCATTAGGATGAAAAATAACTCTTTCGCTTCACATCGCTTCGTCTCGCTAGCTCAAATTTCGCTCGTCAAACATAGCATCACTTTTCATTCTAGTTAAATAATGTATTATTGAGCTCATCAAATGCAAATTCAAGTCGAAATCAAGGTTACACATTCAATTTCATAGCCTTCTATCCAATTTTTTCAATTTGAGATTCCAAATGTAATATAAAATACAAAGTGTGGAAAGGTAGGTAATAAAATTTGAGTAGAATTCAAAAGTTAAATAAAAAAACAAACTTAACTCCCATGGGGTAAATAACTATCTGTGTTTGACCCTGTATGAAAATTTATATTTTTCAGTCTATCTTGTTTTGAGAAAGCTTACATAATTCTGTAAAATCCACAGGACGTTATTTTTAGGCCTGAATGTTAGACATTACTCTTGCGAATTTTCAAATAGCGTTTCATCAGTGACATACAAGTTAATTTTAGACGGACGTTGAGCAAATTTAGATAGTAATTTAATATCACTGAAATGTTTCTATGCTTCCAATGAAAATTATCGACGCCATCGACGGGTCTTCGATTTTTCAATCGGAAAAAAGTTGGTATCGAATTTATCTTATGATAACGTAAATTTTTTCATTGATCTAGCCCTACACACGTTCAATAAAAATTTGATCACACCTACCAAGGAATTTTCCTGATTCCTCATATTCGAAAATACCGCAATGAATCATATGTTACAATCCAAATATTGCCAATTCATTATTGATAAATCTGCATATCTGGTACTCATATACACCTATACATATTTATACTAAAATACGCTAAAATATAAACACGGACATATGTGAAATTAATATCTAAAGATAACAACTCATTGCGCTTATCAAGTTTCTCTATTATTGCATTCTTTCACATTTTTATCAAGTCGCCACCATGTTTATTTCTACTACTGTTCGTTTGTCGACTGTTCAAATCGCATTTTCACTACATAAACACTTTAGATAAAGCTCCTGTTGTTTCACTGAAAACTAAATGTCACCTTGTAGCATTTTCATAATGCTATTCTACTAGGAAAAAAAAATCATGTCAAGATTTAGGTGTATATTTTTTCATTTCGATTTTTGGTATCTTGCTGCTCAGAAATCCCAGAATGGAATTCAAAAGCATGT